TTGAAAAGTTCAAGGGGGCCGAATACTTTCGCAAGGCACTGTACATTGGGGAAACTCAGCAGAAACCCAACACAAATTAGAGGCATCTTTGAATATGTTTTAATTACAAAGGAGGAACTAAAGGTTGATTATGCAGATACAAATATAGGAACGAGGGTTTTATGTGTATGTTTAAAAAAACACTGTTGTTAAATTGACTTTTGACTTCACCACAGCAAAATCATTCAGGTGTATTTAATAATTCCTTGTACAATTTAATTGGTCTGAGGGAGGTGGTTATGCTAAGAAGTAGTCATTTAAAGTAATTATTTTTTGCTGACTGTAGATTTAGATGATTCGCAAATATAGATATGTTAAAAGAAGCAGATGTTATAGCACAACATAATTATGCTTTGTAGAAAAGTATTTGCTTTAGATAGAGATTATCTTCACAGACCACGAAATTGAAAGAATCCTTCTAAAAATGAAAAAATTTCTAAATGCGTTTTTCATTTCTTCAAGGCATACAGTTTACTAGAGTATGCTGAATTTCAAAACTACAAGACTTGTTGTATAGTTTCTATATGAATGTTAGTAAACCTGCACTATTTCTTTGCATAGTAATTGTGTATAATGAAAGCATGTGAAAGCAAATCCTAAAATGTCATGCCTTTCCAACCATCGTAAAACAGATGTTAACAGAATCAGTTGAAGAGACAAAGGATGGCATTTTCGTTGTTTTTAACTGCACACTTTAATCATATGCCTAAGTAATGAATACAATGTGTATATGTCTATTGTTATTTTGTTTACCTCTTTGTTTTTTGTCAAGTATTTCAGCAGAAGAATGGACTCAGTGCTGGATAGGTATAATTTCCTTGTAAAATAAACACTTGAGCACCTAGGATTATGGAAACAGTTGCACGTAATCCAGACATGTGTCATTTAATTGTCTTACATAATGGAATACAAGGCAAGCAGTGTACACTTAATTATATGTGGTACATAGAAGAAAAAAACAGATTTGGGTTATAGCTGATATACGTTGGGACCTTTGCAATGACTATTTTTTTCTTCTAGCATTCAAATTCTCTTTCGGAGATCAAAGTTTTCACTTTCCAATATACAATAAATACATGTAAGTTTTATACAGTACAGTAAAAATAATGTTACATACAGTAGTTGTCATAATTATAAGCAAAACACAATAATCATTCATGCAGTTGCTGTTTTATTACACATTTTAATCATTATTCTTACTACTAAATGTGTGCAGGCATTCATTTTTTTAGTTTAATTAGATTTTGTAGTTGTTTGCATACATGTCTATAGAAACAATACAACACTTGAAAAAACTTTTATAACGCTGAGACAAAAATATTATTTCACCACATATTTGATTTAGTACTTGTTTTCATCTTGTTTGCATACTTGTACATGAAACCAAATTTTGTTGGCATTGAGTGCAATGAGTTTTTAGCCTTTGTCCTTTTTAGAATCATTCCCAGCTGCGTGGAATTTGAAATGTTTTCAGAATGTTGAGCTTCTTAGGTACCCAGTCTTCCGTCAGGATCATCCACGATATCCGGGTCAGGAAATCTCAATGGACAATCTTTGTATATTTATTCTGCTGTACTTGTCATGACTGTGTGCTTGGACTTTAGCTGCCCTGAGATGTTAATCTTTTGTTTATAATTATATCTTTAGTACATGCTATAGTATTGTTTTTATTGTCAAGTGTTTTTTTTTAGTCAGTAAAATATCTTTGTTTCTTGCTGCTGCTAGTGAACAACACTTTAGCAGGGTTTGATTTTCAGCTAAAGAGCAGCATTTCTTCTATTCCTAAAGGCTCATATAAACCACATGAGCCCATATAAAGTACAGCTATAGTATCTACAGATCTGGATGAATATGCTCATTTTAATTATAAAGTCACCATCTGTAGTTAAATGTTAAAGCTCAGTAATTCTTGAATGAATAATTCTCAGTGTAACACATCTTCTGACAACCTGTCTAATCTGAAATTCTACACAGTGTTACCAAGTCTCAGAAGAAAATCAAAACAAGCCTAACACCTTTCAAAGTTAGGAGAGGCCTCTCCCTTTTCCCTGTATTTGAAATTTGTATTCTGCTTTGGAAAATACAGATCAATGTTATTTAACGAATAACACTATTCTGGCATAGAGTTATAAGGCTTGTCTTTGTGTATTGTATGGACTTTATTGTGTATATAAAAGTAAAAAAAAAAAGAATATTTCATATTAACATAGTCCATGTTAGAGGTGGCATGAGAAACATGAGATGTGTCACAAAAAATGAGAGAAAAACTTAATCATTTGACATCTTAATGAGACTGAACAGCATTATTTTGCACTTTTGTCTGTATATGTACGCTCTTGCATGTCATTTAAGAAAGTATTACTGGAAAATTGCACCCATATGTAATAAGGTGACAAAAGTAACAACAATCATTATTCATTAATGTTACATGGATAATAATTGTGAATTTTATAAAAGTATATAAACATCTGATATGGTATAATTAATTTTTCTGAATGCTTTTGAAAATGTGCCTCATTATAGATCAATTCTGTACTTGCTGCCACTAGGCATTTAAGGAGATCCATGTGTTTGGATTGGTTAGTGGATAAAAAACAACAAATGTGGATAAAGGGTGATTATCACCCATTTCAATCTGGGGGCTGTAATTAGAGGATCACTACAGGAATCTGTATATGGATATGTTTGTGGATAACTGTTCTAACTAATGTATAATGAACAATGAGTCTGAAATTACCCTGTACCTTTTTAGGGATTCAGTTAAATGCAAAACCACATAATGCACACACAGTGAGAAGCTACCGTTCATTGTTCATCATACATGGGTAGGCATTTTCCTCTTCTAGTGAAATTTGAGCTGTTATTTATTTATGCCATATTGTTCTTTAGCAAAGGAATTTACATGAATTAACTTATAGTCCATGCAAGTTTTGTAATCACATGATGAATGACAAACCTCATGTTCTATGTGCCAATATTAAGAGCATTAAGTTTTGGAACTCGAAAGCACAACAACCTGATACTGTATGTATGTGGAAGGGTAAAAACAAGGTTTTAAAAGAAACCGTATAAAGGAATTAGCTGTATGAAATGTGACACTATACAATCTGAGTTGCATGCACACTACCCAATGTGATCAGGTATTATTGAAGAGATTTAAATTCACACTGAATTGCAGAAGAACTAGGAAGATGTTTGTTAAATAGTCATGTGTTATTCCTGTGCTATTGTTGTCAAATCAATTAGGAATTTGTGTACAGTATTAGAAATTGTTACCCATTTAGGTATAAAAACAATATATATTTGTCTTTTTTGACAGACTAGTACAGTATTTATATTCCTTTAACCTTCACCAATGATACAATTTCTAATGTTTTCATTAGTGGATTAGAGAGGTTGTCCTGGTTGAATGGGAGTTTGTTTGGGATAAAATCTTGGAATGAGGTAAACTGGAGCGAAAGGAGCAGTACTGCCTGGGCCGGTTGAAGGTGGGACTGGCTGGGGAGAGGCGGGGCCTGGTGCAGGCTGGTCTGGCTGGATAATTATAATGGGAGGCAAGGGCTCTGGAACTGAAGGAGCCATAGGAGCATGTAAGAGGATTATTGGAGGGGGAAGTGGCTGAGAAGGAAGAGAAATCTGAAATCTTGGAACTGGAAATGGAATTGGAAAGGGATATCTTGAGAAAGTCTGCATCATCCTTGGCATCATGAAACCAAAATCCTATGTAAGAAAAAAAATCTGGTTAAAAAATCCGCATCTTGATTTTTCACATTTCCTGAGATCCTTAAAGTAATAGACAGGGACTGTGGAGAATAATTAGTTATAAAAAAAAATCTACAAATTTGAGCAAGGTGTCAAAAAGGGAGAAAAAACTAATTTAGCTGAGAAAACCTGGAACTGTTATTTTAAACCAGTTCAGAATCAGGGTATTTTGTTGTGCTGGACAATTCAGGACCATTGACTTTAAGTGGCTGAATCTGGCTTTCTTTTGAAAATAATTTTAATAAAAACTGCAACGCAAATCTTTCAACCTAATAAAACGACAAAATTACAATCACTTCGGAATTACTTCACATATGTGATCGCTATTTTGAGCCAATCATATACAGTAGGGAGAATAGTTCATGTCATCATAGGATTACCATATATACCAAGACAACACCTGGAGTACCATCAAGTGCTTTGGTTTAAGAAGGCGCAGTAAGACCTGCTTGCACTTGTAATCATAGTCTAAGACCTCAATGTCTTGAGTCATTTATGTAAAGAAATCATTCATAGACAAGTGCTAAAATAATACAATAAGCTCCCATAAATACACAGTCATACCAAATACAGTAAACATTATCCCAGTGATGAAAAGAGATGGCATTATGCTAAATAAAATTATGCTGAGTATAATTATCTTGAAAAGAATTGTAATTTAATGGATCATTACAGTATAACCCTGGTGAAATATTTTCTTTACATCAGAACATGAAATGACAGGACTTTAATCTTACAGCAAATCTATTTCTTACCTCATAACTGATAGATCTGGCTTTTCTCTCATGCATTTGATTCACCTAAATCACCACACAAATAAGTAAGTTTAAAAAGTGTGAGTGTAAGATGTCAGTATTTAAGACATTGATATCATGTAGTGTTTCAGGTACTCACAGGAGCAGCTAGACAAGAGCTTAAAAGACCCAACACCAAGATTATGTTCTTCATATCTCAATCTCCTCCTGTAAAAATACATTGTTTTTTGGTATTCTGTTTTCTTGTTGTAATAATAATTCAAGATGGTTTTCTTATAACTGAGGGTCCCAGTGAGCATTTCATTAAAAGCCTCATCAAAAGATATATGATATTAGTAAACTGTAATGATGTTATGATATCATAACTCATTAAATACTGAGAACTAAGCCAATACTGTATTGAATTCAACTTCAACTGTAATGAATGCAAGCAATACAATTTCTGTACTTAAGATAGTAAATAGAGAACCCCCCTAACAAAGCTGATTAGGTTACAGATAAAGACATGTGTACTACTGACAGAAAAAGAATCCACCAGGAGGTAGACTTTTAAAAATGCAATCACTTTCCTGAGGATTTAAAGAGTTGCAACATGTATCTCAATGCAAATTAACAGTGCTCACAAATGCAAACTCTTATACAGTCTTATTACATGTGGCAAATTAAAGAATAACCTTTGACACCTCCTCTGAGTGCTGTCTGATTCCCAGCAAGTAATAATGACTTTGCCAACAGACTAATTCTATTTTCTTAGAATTGCTCACTACCAGACTTCTTTTGAGGTTACAAGATGAATTACCAATGATTATTACAATGTGAGAGAGAATGATCTCTTCATGGGTGGTTATGACACTATAGTTAATGGTGGATTTAATAACCTGTTTCCTTCCATTTATGAATTGATGAATATATGAGCCTAATTCAACATTTGCATTATATTATCTCTAATCATTGTTATATAATAAGAATAAAAATATTATTTATGTACTGCATTTGTTTAATCTAACCCTAGACTGGTAACATAAAAAGTATATTTGCTAAAATTACATCAAACAGGGTGTCATGAAACCAGACTGCTTTTGCTGTAATTAACAACATTTTTATCTAATGAAATGAAAACTATTAAATACAAGTATGTTTTAAAAAACACCATTAGGTTGGATTTCTGCATCATTCAATTAGCTGTATATTTATCTGATATGGGGGATGAGGGTTTAACAAATCTGAAAAACTGTGATTACCCTTACTTTAAAATCATATTCATCTTTTTGGAAAATGTTGACTGATTTCAGCAAGTATATTAAAAAAGAACTTCATATGCAATTTATATTCAAACACAAAACGTAGAATTACTCATAGAAGAAAAGCACTTCAAAAATAGAAAAGGTTTTTTTTAAAAACAAAGCTTTCAACTCCTATGATTATAAATATTAAACAGAAAAGACACAAAAAAGACAAAATCAGTCCAAAGAGTAAAATTCCTAATAATGCAATAATAACAAAATAGTAAATCAATGATAAACATTTCAATAAAACCCCTTACCTTTCAATTAATGAGAATGCTGTGTCAGTTTTCTATCTTCAGACTCTGGTTTTGTCTAAAAACAGCTGACTTGCTTCATATGAATGCTTACTCTGTATTATGTTATCCAATCAGAATCACTTTTTATCATGGATATGCTAAAGGAATGGAATGCTAATGGTTTGCTAAATAATAGCACCCCATTCTAGGGTGTGTTCAGATTTTTTTTCTTACTTTATATAAATTACAGCTCCTAAGTGCAGATTATAAATTCATGTTACCAGAATTCAGGGACATAATGTGTTGCTACTAGTGTCATTACTTCAAGGCTGCTTCCTAGATGGGTTGCCAGTCCATCGCTGGGCTCACAGACACACTCACACATGAGAAAATCTCCAGACACCCATTGACCCAGCTAGTGTGTCTTGTGTGATGGGAGGAAACCACTACTCATGCAGTCATGCGAACATGCAGAGAACATGCACAGTTCACACAGAAGGTGTTTCAGTCCAGAATCAAACCCAGGAGGCAAGAGTTATAAGGCCTCAGCACTAAGTGCCATACCATCATTCCACTTTCTGTATTCTAAAACTTTCATATTAGAAGAATTACAAAACGTTCTCCAAAATTTTAAGTATCTGCTTGTCTAGAAACAAAAGTGATCTGCCCACATAAACACCTAAGGCTTTTTAAAGCTGTAGAAAGGATTTGGCTAATGATCTAATCAGATGGGAGCACATCATTTTCATCTCTAGAAAATTGAGTAATGTGTCAAACACCCTCATCTCATTTGGAAACCTTCCAATATTCTTTAAAAATCTTCCCAATAATCTTTAAAGATATTAAGAATCTTTCATTTATATAGATGTAACACTTTATCTAGAATGTGAATCTTTTGTGGCAGAAGGCCACAGTAATGATATGATAAAATATGTTTTTAATTATAAATTGCAGGAACTCATACAAGTGAACTTATTTCAATTTGTGTTCAAAATGTTAAAAACAGTTCTGTGAAATTGTAGATGAATTCATATTCAAATTGGAATTTGAACATAATGAGCAAACAGCAATTTAGACTTCCACAGGTTCTTGTCATTGTTTGTAATACATTCTCTTAAAATGGGTGCAGGACAGTTATCGAAAAAAATAGGCAATGCTTGTATGCTTTGTAGTAAATTGGCGGGTCTTATCTTGTCTCATGATCATAATGATCACAATGCTTGAGATAAATTAAACTGTAGTGATTGTAATATTCTACTATTAAATTCTTCTCAACTACTTTTTTTTGTCAGTAAACCTTCATTCTTCCTGTAGATTTCTCTAGATGTACTTGTGTAAAAATCTTTAATTATTTAAAAACATAAAATTGTAGATAGTTTTACAGTAACCACAGTAAATGTGACCACAGTTGTTTAAAAAGCAAAAGACATACTGATGTTATAAATAATTTTTAGGAGTTATATACAGTAATGTATATGCACAAATACAGTATATGAGGGTGTTGTCATCTCCCAGGCCTAACTCAAAATAACTAAAAAAACAAGCATAACTCATACTGTCTTACAAAAACTTTAATCTCCAATCATTGCTCTTTACTGAAGTGTAAGAAATGCTGAACTCTGCCTATTTCTGAAACATGCTAGATTCTTGCATGTAAAATATATGCAAATTAATATGGTGTTCCTTTTTTAAAACAGACAATATGGCAGTAGTAATGGGAAAATAATGTCTCTACCTCTCAGCATATTGTAAAATTACTAGTGTCCAGCCAGTTTGAGTGACTGTTTTCCTCTTAATTGTGATTCAAAATGTAATTAAAAAGTAACAGAAGAGAATCTAAAAAACATTTTTTTTAGGATAAGTCCAAGACAACTATATTACAGTGATCTACTGCAAAATGAATAAAGACTGATTAAATATTCCAAACACATCTCATCCTTTAATACTAGTGCTAATGCTTTGTACCTACTTTTCTTGACATGATATTCATATTATCCTCTTTAAAAGACTTTCTGAATTTGATAACTGCATTGCTGACGTTTAGGGGACAACCTGATTTCTTGGTAACCTTGTTCAGACAGAAAACTGGAACATTTCGTTTAATTAGACCACTACAGAGCTACAGAGAAGCACACAACTGCGGGTTGCTCATGTCAAGGTATTTAAAGCATTTAATTAAATGTGGTTGAGGCAGCTGAGCAAAACGGGGGAAAAAGTTTAATGACTGCAATTAAAAGTCTGCAGTAACTCACGTGTTAAAAAGAATGTGACAAGCCTACTTTAATTTTTTCAAAATAAAATAACAGGATGAAATGAATGAGAAAAGCAATTTATTATGTTTGTTCAAAGCTTTTTTAAAAATGAAAACAATATGACTGCCCTTAGAATATCAAATTACACTCATAACATAGAAAGAACGTTTTTTGTTAAGAGCAAATCTCTTTTAAATCACCCTATTGCTTTTTTTAAGGGTAAAATCATATTAAACTTGAATTTTCAGAAAATAATAGACTATAGGTGGCAAGCCATCATGCTACTTTTCTTTTGTGACATTTGAACAAATGAGAAAATTAATGAATTGAATGTTTCAATGTAAACATGGGAAAAAAAGAATAGTATTCATTTACAGAGAAATACTACTTAAAACTCTTTCTTCCTACTTAAATTTTGGGGTTGAACAAGACCAAGCAAGACTACAGGTTTATGAGCTGTTGAATGTTTGAATGGTTAATCCTTCCTTTGTTAAGCAAACCTCATGGGATGATCGACGATTGAGTAATAACCCATAGGAATTGGTGGTCTAGCATGGATTTCCACAATTATTGCAGGTAAGACAGGCATTAAGGTCTAAATCGTTCTAGAAAGGGAGGATTAATTACCTAGTAATCAAGCAGCAAATCTTGTTTTATGTCTACTGTGTGTCTACCAACTCAACACAGTGAGACAAAACTGAAGGGTGCTACTTGTTGTGAAATTGCCTTTACTCCAAGATATCGTCTGACACTGTTTATGTTTGCCTCTTTGCCCTTGGATTACTGTAAAACATAATGACAACTAATGAGAGGAAACCAGTCAACTCATCAGGCTCACTCGGTTGTTTCAGTCTTATTCTTGATCCTGATCATACCAGGAACAGCCCCACCCCCAGAAAGGGACAATTTATAGTAATCAAATGTATCCAGCATGCGTGGTAGAAGGAAACTGTAGAATTCTTTTTAATAAACTTGGTTTAATAGTCAGTGTGCAGTGCTGAGGGGTTTACAAAACCCCATCCCACCAGGAACATTCCTCCACTTAGAGTTAAGCACTGAAAAAAAACAACCAAAAAAGAAAATCCTTGAACTTGACTTTAATCCCCTTAATTAGTATGACAATGTCTTACCAGGCTGCTCAGACTCTTGCTGTACTCTGCATGCGCAAGCTCTGATGTGAGCAAAAAGTAGCCTGCTCTCCAAAGTAAGTTTTTTTTCTGTTAAAAGTACATTCTACTGAAAAATCAATTTTTGTGCATGTCTTGCTTGAAAGGTTTAGTCATAAAAGGTTGCAATATGTGCATTATGCATTATGTTTTGCATTATGTGAAAATTACAGATATTAATGTTGGTGATATTTATAATTATGAAGAATATTTTCATACTGTACCTGTTTCTTAAGGGATCACTGAAGTTTAAAAAAAGAAAGTTTGTCAGGTTGTGAATACTAACAAATATTACACATCAAGTTTGCAAATTTAATCAATTTAATTTTAAATTTCATTTTGAATTCCATTGATTTGCTTTTCAAAGAATCTGTTTGGTTTAGCAACAGATAACTTTAAAATGTGAAAATGTATTCAGGGATTATAAGAATTGTACTTATATTTTGCTTCGTGGAGAAAAACCGATTCTGAATTTGTGAGTATTTATTGCAGAAAAATGGCAAGGAAAGAGCAAATTGTACTCATTTTAATTTGACGTACCACGTATTGGCATGAATGGCCTGAGAAACATATCGATATTTTATACAGCTGAACAACAGAAGTAAAAAAAAAAACATCGCTGCATAATTTGACCTGTTTTAAAAACTAAAAATTAAAAGGGTAATCTGTGATAGCCTAGTGAAATTTGAAATGTGGAACTTAAGTGCCATCTTGTGTTTAGTCTTTGCCAGTAACTTTACTGAATTATCCAATGTGCGATTTGTGTAGCCTAATGGTGTGGCGCTTAACGTGGCTGCCTAATAGCTCTTAGGTCCTGGGTTAATTAGTGGTCAACACTGCCTTCAGTGCTTCTGTGTGGATCTCTCCCTATATTTGCATTAGTTTTATCCAGGTGTTCTGGATATTTTCTTTCACCTCCCAAAAATATGCTGAAAAGGTTAATCAGCTTCTCTACATTGTGTGTGCCCTACCATGGACAGGCTTCCACCACAGGCTCCAGATTGCTATGAACCTTGCTAGAAATAAGCGTCTTTTGGCAACAGATAAATGTGAGATGTTTTTTATGTGAGCAGGCTAGCGTTCACAGTGCAAAAAACTAAACAATATTAAAAAAAGATTAATTTCAGCAATTTGAATTGTTCCCCAAGCAGGGCGAAGTATCATTACCATGAAGCAGCTCAGCAGAGGGCTGATGATATTCATTGCTGTCTCTGTGACTCTGTCTACCACCACGGTACTACTTCTGTTGTTCAATAGAGCATCTCCTTTTGAAACCATTAGGAGCCTTTCTGTAACAAAATAACAGGCAAAAATTAATTACAGCACAGAAGCAATACTGCAGATTTTCATCCAATTCAGATATGATCATTCTGTGTGTAAAATGTTTTGCTGAATTTTGTTAGTAAATGAAGACACCAGTTTAATTTATATACTTGCATACATATACTTACCCTGGCACAGGTAACATTATATAAATACTTCACTTTGGGGGAAAGTTATTCATTTTAGTTGGTTATTAAAACAATTAACCAACAAACCAATTAAAGTACTCATAATACACAATATGATAAATCTATTGTTTTCATCAGGAGAGCCTAACATGGGGGCCCCGTGTTTCTGTCTTTATGACCTCATTCATGGAGGACTTTATATGTTGAAATATTAGAAGCCATGTGAGGTATTTCTCAGTGTCAAGATGATATAAATGGTGCCACAAAGATGTTGATATGCTGATATGCAGCTAATGTTTCTAACAAAAAAAATTAAAGGCAACACACATTGCCAAGATTGAAAGATTTACAGTTTAAGGATGAGAGTACATTATACAAAACATTTTTAGTGGAAATATCTCTTTGTTAAATTTTACAGAGCAACATTTGTTGGACATCCCTTGGCAAGGGATAGTTCATGTGTTATAATCGTTGTTTGATGTTCTTCTGAAAAGAGAGCAGAAATTTGACATTAGTTCTTATTAGTGTAATTGCTGATTCTATTTTGTCCTTCTGTAGGGTTCCAGAAGTCAAAGCAGAAGGATGTTGATCAACAATCAAGGAAAACTAATAGCAGTAACTGTAGCAGATGAAACAGGTCTTCTACATCAATCCATTTCCCAAATGTGTAGCTTCTTCAGAGTGGATGGGGCTTGAAAGCAGAATCTAATTAGGCTCATGTCAATCTTTTCTAGATTGTATGCTCTTATTCATACTTTAGGTAAAAAAACAGAAACAAACAGGGGCTTCAAAATGATACTGAACCCCTGGAATGTTGTATTGAATTCATTATTTCTCAATTTGTAGAGCTTGTTGGATTTAATGTATTATCCAGTCAGGATTAGAATGCAGAATTCCAGGACTTATTATACAGTAAAAGTGTACACTAAAGTTCTAGTCCTGTCATCACTTATTAATGTTTGGTGTTGGTTTCTTACAGAATATATCAAGCTAGGTCTAAAGACCATCATGGAATTTTAGGCATAATTTATTTAGCAAATCGTTGAAATGTGGGGGTAGGTGACTTGTGTAATAAATTCCTTAAATAATTAGAAAGAAATCCAGCAGTCACACTAGCTCCTGCGGGACTGGAATAATCCTCCTGCAGTGCTTCATTAAGGCAGCCGAGCAAGTGTCAGGACTGTCCAAAGAAATTGGGGAAAGCTGTTGAGCCAGTCTGATTCAGGCCAGTAATTAAAAGAACTGTGGAGTTAAGAGCTGTGCTGAATGAAAACTGCAGAAATAACATAACATGATATTTCAGGAAACTAGTGTAAATGTAAGCTTTGTGTAGTCCCAGTCCACACTAAATGCCTCACTTTAATGTGAAATTACTTAAAGCAGTTTATTCTTAAATTTGATTTCATAATTTGACTTAACTGTAGTATTCACAGTGTTCTGAAATTTCAAGATTACAATGTTGCATATCTCCTGTTTAAAAAAAAAATTTACTCAATCCATAAAATTAAAATAGTACAGAATATATCTGTCAATAGGCACTTCTGTACTTCAAAAGCAAGTGATTTCTATCAGTATCCAGTGCAAATCCTACTTTCTAGAAAAAAAGTTATGTTCTGTTTCTCTTTATGTGATATGTTTAAATATGATATTAATTTATTCCGGACATTCTAAGATGTGGGACAAACTCTTAATGTCAGTTTAACAGTCTCTAACATCACAGTAGGTAACCCCTGTCTACAGAAGAAATGTTTAAAGCCAAAGGGATCGTGGTGTCAAGTGTTCACTGGAGAGAATGGAGTGCAGAAAACGAAATGCGTTTGTCCAAGAGCATGTTCAAGGTGAGAATGATTAGGAATTGTATTAAGAGGTAATGCAAAATATTCCCTCTGTTTTTTAAACATCTGAAAGAGGTACTACGGTATAGTCCCCTGGATATTTATAGTGTCTGCAGAACAGGATTTCATGGTCTTTCATACAATTTACAGTTCATTAATCTTTCTTCAGCCTCTCCCAACTGACATCTACAGAGCATCTACCATCATGATAGCTCATAAAGGGACAATTATAATGTCCTTCTCCTTAATGGCCCATCATGCCAAGAGGCTCAATTAAACATTGAGTTTAATTAGTCTCACACTAGAAATTCTGTACCAGAAGCATCCTTCACCTTATAAATGTATGTCTGATTACAAGTTGAACTGATGAACAAGATTCATTCATTCATTTTTTATCAAGAGCTTTTTTAGTGGTTAGCCCCTGTTCAATGTGAGACTGGTTACTTGACTACAGAGAAAAAGAGAAACAAAACCAAATAATCACAGTGGGCCGAATGGCTCCCTCCCATTTGTGACATTGCTGATGTTCCGATGACTCTTTTGCTAGATAAAGTAATACAGTGGTTTGCCCTGCAATAAGTCTGTAATATTTATAAATATAGAGTGCCATCTTTATGTCAAACTGGTTTAATATGCTTTTAACTACTACAGTGCACTTATTAGTAGTCGTTAATGATCATTGCATTATTCACAAATTCCACAGATACAGTTTAATTTTTGAATTTCTGATGTTTCCACAGTAAACTGGATCCGGTGTGCAGTAACTATGGACGACAGTATAACAACGAATGCTTGCTTCATAAGGAAGCCTGCAGCAAGCGCAGATACATTAAAGTATCTTATTATGGCAAGTGCTTAGGTAAGAGAAACCGATATATCTAGTGACTCTTGACCTTATCATGGAAAAGAAAATCCAAATAAATCTTCTAATTTATTGGATATTTTTATTCAATATATGATGATATGTAGGTTCCAGGCCTGTCAGTTTGTTATTGTTTTTTGGCTGTTTCAAGTTAAGCTTTTGTGTGACTAGGACAAGGAAACATAAAGACTTTTTTTACACATTTGTAGCTGAAAATAGCTAGTGAATAAGTCTAATTAAAGGGAAAAGTCTAGATGCATCTTTTATAAACCATGTTCAGGCCCATCTTGTTGTTGTGCCGCAGAAGAAGAAAGCAACATTTACCTCTTAGTGCAAGCCTAAGGCAGGCGATAACATGACAAGTTAATAGTGTCATCCTCAGTAAATGCATAATTCACTACAATTCACGAAATGTACACAATAATAAAAAATCTGTGCATTTTTAGAATGCATTTTCATCCCAAAGGATTCCAAAGTGCTTGAGTTTTTTGTAGGGGAGCCAGTGCATCCACAATTGAAGTGCAGTGCTCATCTGAATAGTTCAGCAGATCTGGTTGGAGAAGTGAGGAATTGCTTTACCCACTGAATTAAAGGGGAGATCTTAAGGGAGGCCAGGTAAAGAATCAATGATAAAATTGGATTGTAAATTCCAAAGTGGAATTTTGCCAGCACAACAACCTTAGAAATCCATCTCTTAACAAACAGAGCCATAGGATCTCCTGTGACCAAGTCAACATTCACCATACGGGGGCATGGGTTTGGAAACTGGATCAGAGCATTCTCATTTTCCTACCCTCAGAGTACTAATCAAACCTAACTTTGCTTAGATTCTGACATTTGACGGGATCAGGCAACAGATTGTTATTTCTGGAAGGAAATTAAATCCATGTTATCCAGACAGCTGATGCTGCCACAACTATTCCATCTCATCCCAAGCTATCCCTTTTGTTTTCCCAATCCATTTCCAACCCCCTTCCCTGTTTCTACCTCACAGCTGGTACAGTATGTCACTCTAGGGAGGTTGGGTTTTTCTATCCCTATAGCAGGCACTCCTGTATGTACACAGAATGTAGCACTTGTAAATAAATCCAGTATATTGTTCTGAAAAGTGTATTGCTGGCTGCAGTAGCATTCTTTTTTTCTGCTTTGAGAAAAAGAAAGCAGAGTTTCTTTCTATTCTATTTAAAAATGCATTAGCTTTTTACTTGTAATGTTTTATTTTCCAACACATTCAGTTAATGCAGTTTCTCATGAAAACACGTCCACACCTGTGCATGTCAGTACTGTATCAAGATTTTACACATTACATAACCATAATCATATAAGAAGTGTATCATCTTTTCTGAAAGTAATTAAATAACCGTTGCTTATTTTTATAAAGAGGCCCTGAACTCTTACCCAGATTATGATATTTTATGATAATTGATGTATGTCTAGTTTAGATTACAGCTTTTCCCACTAAAAATGTTTGCTTTTCTTCAGTTTTCTTAACTTGTTTGTCTTCTCTACAACTGAAAGTTACAGCTTTATTGTTTTTTTATTATTATAGTTTGCTTAACAAAAGTTCTTACTGGGACAAAATTGGTGAGCACACCAAAAATCTACATTAAAAAATAGTTTATTATTATTTAAAATAAGAAAAAAAGCACCAGAATATCTCAAATTCACAGCTTCACGAAAAGGGACTTGTTCCCATAAATCTTTCTCCTATTATGCAATGCCATAAGCGACAATGGCCATCTCTTTTCAATTCGTCAGTAAGAATATATTAATTTAGTTGTCGCATATTTTAATTTCCTTTCTAATGGAAGTGAAGTGAATCTTTAATTCTGAAGATACATCACCAGCACTGTGGCAAAGCTAATGGGTATGAGCTATAGTCTTACTGTATACTATATTGGTGATGTAACATATGGCAAAGCAAAAACCTTCCTGTGCAAGAAATCACCCCTTCTGAAACCTTGCTTACCCCAAACATGAATAATTCAACATCTTGATCTGCTGACTGGAACTACAGATGTGTGGTGTCCAGGAAGAAATAAAATTTGTGATAGGTTCTGAGATGTGTACTGTTCTACAGAAGCAGTGGAAAGTGCTGTTCCATCTCTTTCCATCGTTATTTTAGCTGTACGGTATGTCCTGTTATTCGTATGTCTGAAAGAGGACTAATAACTGCATTGCACATTCATGATAAGTGATCCAACTGGTTCTGAGTTATAAGATAAATCTGGGATCCGTTTAAATTGGACTAATGTTCTTATCGAAGAATCAAAATGAAAATGAAGGAAAACAATAAAACAAAACAGCAATATACTGCTTCTGGATTATTCTGTTCCCGAAGGAACAGTGTGCTCATGCTGAATCTCAACTAGAAACCTTAAATTAATAAAATGCTTAGTAAGCATATAGAAATTCTCTGAATGTGCCAAGAGATCTTCAATGAACTGACTAAATGATACACAGTAGCATTGACTTTGTTTAACTGCATCAATTAACTTTTACTTATGAGTCTGTTTACTTACAGCCTTTTTGTATTTCCATTCTGAAAAATTTTCCTTATAAAAAAAGATGTCCCTAAAAAAGCAGCTGGGTTTCTGCATGTGTGGGTGAAGTAAGCGACTATAGTTGCCCCTTTTCCGGTAGATGTTTTATTTGGTACATTGAATGCAAACATTCATATAGAAAATTATTGAGGATTTTTTTAATTTAAGGAATTAAGGAAATATTAAGGAAAATTTTAAAATAAGGACAGTGAACTATATTAACTGTTTATTATCTCTATATTTTCTTGTCAGGCAGTGAACAATATAAAGGTTATTTAAATACATACTTTATATAGTACCCCTTTGGTCTTAAGTAAGATACACAATTGTATTCATCATAGACCAAAACATTGAGAGGAAAATTTAATAACATTTCTTTTATTTACAACATAGTTTATAATAGCATAGTTTTTGTGTTGTTGTTCATTTCTGTAACCTGTATTCATGGTTGACAGTTTAGCACTATTGACAGAAGTAAAACTTATCAGTGATGCCTTTAATCAAGCCAAACAGGCACCCTGCTCTAAGGGAGAACTTGCTGAATTCCCCTACCGGCTGCTGAACTGGTTCCTACATCTGAGAGAAATTGACGAGTTTGAGAAAGTGAATGACTCTTCAACCCATGCCTTCATGAGCAAGAGAGAAAGAAAAGGCCTTGCCAAGGTTTGTGCTGAAAAAGTGAATCTTCTGTAATGCAACTGTGCTTAAATTATTTGTTATTTGTTAATTATGTGGCAATTGGGGTGGAACTTCATGAAGATTAATTACTGCATTTGCAGTGGCTGAATAGATTTGATCTTTTTAGGGTTTCTATGTACTGTGTGTACCAGTGAGAAGAAAGGGTCTTAATCATTTGTGATGTAGGCCGTATAATTTAATCCCTCTCACTATTGTCATTATTGTAAAAATCTTCCAAATAAGGTCAAGCAGCATTATTGCCAGTGACTTGTTTCATATTCTGCCTGTCTTTCTGCAATTTTTGTAACAAACATTTTCCAAAACAGTGGAGATTTGATCTGTTGGATGTGGGCAAAGATGGGGTGCTCAGTAAAAGAGACCTGCTGGAATTCCGTTATCACCTGATGCCTTTGGAGCATTGTGCAAGTGAGTTTTTCAAGTAAGTTACATTTCGCTCTGTTTTCTCTTATAATATTGACTGTTCTGCTGACTATCTAGATCTGCTCTAAGAATCATTAAATGGCCTTTTTGTGGCTCTGACTCTTTTAGGGAATACTTTTTTAATTTTTCATTTACTGAGATAATATACTGGGAAACATTAAAAATGCAGCAAATGCAACCAGTATTATTTTGTTGTAATTTTAATGCTTCTCAGAATTGAGAAGGCCAGTTACACATTACCATGCTTGTGAAATGTAGTAATACATATTATTGCACTTACGTACTGATAACTTCTAGAATTACAGTTCTGCCCAGTAGAATCTTTTTAGACTGACACGTAGCTACTGTATATGGAATTTGTTTTCTGTAGATTTAGTTTATTTCATGCTGCTTGAGCACATCCTTTAATGTTATAAGTTGCCTTTAGTGTCTTATGCGACTGGCATTCCAAGCACAGTGTGTTGTTTCTGTGGCCAAAGGTCTTGTGATGCAGATGGAGACCAAAGTGTCAGTTTGCAAGAGTGGATTTATTGTCTTGTTGAAAAGTCGGAGAAGTGGTATGAAGGATTTATGGGTGAGTGATTTCATTTCTCTCTTGTGCTCTTTTTTTATAAATAATTGCTTGTGAGTACTGCCTGGTAAGGAAGGCTAAGAGAGAGCCTTGTTTATTCATCATGCATACTGCATGACAGATCTGCATGACAGTTATTTCTATATCTCTCTCCCTTCCTCAGCTCAACATTAATCCAACAAATAGTTGTTTCAAAATCACTTAGTATGATGAAATCAAATGACTTCTTTATACCCAGACATAGCAGCATTCTAGAGAGAGTAAAGACAGCATGGGTGTTGACAACCCTGAACTGGCAAAATACCTTCAGAAAAAAATATTTAAAAAATCTATTTTGATCATTATTTAAGGTGCTGGAAATTCCATTTAAACATTGATTATGTATATAAACACAAACAGATCCCCCTATAAATGATTGATTTCACTGTTATTATTAGATATGCTCACATACAGAAACTGCATTTGTAGCCCCTTGGAATAAAGTCTGGAAAATTAAAGATGGATGTGCAAAGGGTCACTTTTTACACTTTAAAATGTTTGGCATACTTTTGAAATTGCTAGCTTTTTCAAGATTTCTCACTTTCATTTTCACTTGCTCTATTTAAGTAATTGTGGATACTGTAATACTGCATATAATATTAATCTGCCAAAATGCAGCCAGGAGACACAGGTAATACTCCAGTCAGTGATGTATTTTGTGTTAAATGAAATGCAAAATTAGAAAGGAGTTTTGTCTGAGATAGTTTGGTGTGAGAGAGGACAGCTTGGTCAAACAGACAAGACCATTTTAGTTGAATCACGAGAAGAGCTCTAGGGAGGAGAGCCAGAGGTCCTGTTTTTATAACCTACTGAGCAGGTGATTGGTGGAAGACAGGGTGTTATCTTTCTCCTGAATGTTGTTGTGGACCCCAATTAATCAAATTATTTTTTTTCCAGGACTTTAGTTATAATAGTCCAATATAAACATACATTACCCAAATAAGTTGACTCAGTTGAATGTGCCAGTAAATTGTCTCACTGCTACATTTTGTATATTTGCTTTTTATTTTGGTGTATTTTTGGGTATATTTTTACTATAGTTTATGTAAGAGGGTTAAGATCCTTGTTTAAGGATATCTTGTTTGAGGAGCAATGCAAACGATATTTTTTTACTTATACAGCTAGGAAAATGGGAACAAAGGAGATCTGGATCAAACCCAAAAGGAAGGTCTAACTATGAGCTGTACTGTACCCTACTTTCACACCTTGGGTTTACTGTGGCTCATTCCTCTGTTTGATGGATGTTACTGAATGGCGGTGCTCTTTTGATCTTCTAGCAAAATATGTTAGTCCTGTGTTCAGAATACAGCAAGGAAAGCAAAGAGTCCTCTTTATCTTTTATTTCAAATGGTAGTTGACTACAGAGAAAACGCAGAGAAGAAGAAACTGCAATGTTTTCACATTTACGCATATTCACATTCATATGCCAGCATGCAGGCTCAATAGTCCTTTCACAAAATTCCCATTTATATGTATCACACACATTCAATTGTTGAGTCACTAAATAAATAATTCAAAGGTTTTAAAGTGTGTTTTGTTTTGCTTGATATTGGTCTGCATTTCAACAAAGAATTACCCTGATATTTCTGCACAATAGAAATAAGAATTTCTATAAGTAGCAATCTATTTGTTGTTTGACTCTTAAAATAGTGCAAGTATTAAGTTCAGTTTATCTTATCATCTTATCTTATCATCATCAACGGGAAGAGTTGGCCGTTATTACCAAATGTCCATTAAATTAAAATTTCAGCCCCAAAACACAATTTTATACAGGAGTATATATAATATTTGTACATTATAGTTATTTTTTAACAGTCAATGAAAATTGTTCCAGTGCTTTTTTATCTTAAATACCCAAGCATTTATTTAATGTATTGTAAATATACTGTGTACAATTCAGACAAGCATATGAAACAAATAGTATCAAGCGATTAGCCTACCCATTGATATTTCTGAATTTTGAACCTATGTATTATTTATTTTTACATTGTTTGATCATTGTATTCTTATGCCAGGGAAAGTCTGATATTTCTGATTTTACAAACAAAATTCTCAATTAGAAGATTTTGTCCATTAAACCCAAAGTCAATTCAGGCATTCAACTGAGGGTTATCTTTAATATATATTGCTTTCTAACCATAATTGTCCTTCTAGGAGACCTCAAAAAATAAGATTAGGGTTATTTTAATCTCTCTCATCTATTTTAGAACTAAAACTGTATAAAGAATAAATACGAAGTGTACTTGAGTTAAGTCATCTTCACCAAAGACTGTTATTAAGTGTTAAAAGTAGGCACTGCTGAGAGTAAATAGAAGTCTCATATCTATCATTACTTAACAGTACCATTAACTAACCTAGACTAATTACAATCGAAAAACTTTCACAGTTGCTTGCAAGTTGGATACACTTTTTGTTGATCAGTGTTTAGTGCTTTCAGCGAGAAAAGCAGAGAATTCTGCCAGAAATTTGTGTGGTGGTCCCTGGTTGGGGTGTTAGCATGGAGTGAAACAAATATGCATCTGTGCTTCTGGCAATTGGCAGCTGATTCCTTCTCCATGCCCATGAGTAGATGTCTGTTCATGATACAATCACAATTTTCTGGTGTTGTGAACAGTAATGAGATCTCCTGCCAAAATCTGCCTCTAATCATACACCACTGAGAAGCTGAGCTATCTGCACTAATGATGGATGATTATCTGTGTGCACATTTCAGGCTGAGAACCTGCCACAGAAAAATAGATTCTGGCTCTATTGACTGTAAGCTTGCTTAAGTTGCCTCTGACAACAAAACATGTATAAAAGAAGATATTTTTCAGACCAAAAGATGACAATTAAGTTTTGTTTTGCAATCATGCAAAGAAAGATACTTGGCATGGAATCATGTGATGGTAGGTGAGCAAATACCTGAGAAGAAAGCACTAAACTTCTAAAGCAAAGGTCTGTCTTAACCTGACAAGTTGGGATCCATCAGAAAACCCTACACTGCTGAGCTGTAGCATTGTTATGATGTCACTGAAATCAAAGAGAATGAATACTTCTGAATTCTCCCAGATGAATACTACAATTTATTCAGGATAACAATTGAGGTATAAAAGGGAAATATTTACCTATATGTCCCATTATGTTTACAGGACGTACTGTAGCTAATGAAGATTACTAAATTTAGTTTAGAACTGCTTTCGTTTTTTAATCGTTGCTTTATTATATAGTGGCTTTCTGGGAAGAGAATGAGCTTGGTGCAAAATGGTTAACCATTTCAGGTTAAATAATTCCAATTAACTTACTTCTTTTTATTGTCCTAGATGGGTAATTTGCTTTGTAGGCTCGTAAGAGACATAACACAAGACACAAAACACTTAACACAACATGAAGCCATTTACAAATAAGAATCAGACCAGACATGTATGATGAGAAAGAAAAAATAAATATATAAATAATGTAAAAATCAATTAATACACAATCAATTGTTCAAATGCAGGAGGTTAATTGCCATGGGAATAAAGACTAAAATTTAATTCTATTGCACTAGAATCCAGGTAGACTTAATTGAATTCCAACCATCAAGCAAGCTGTAATCTTCAAGGCTCATTAGAATGGCAGAAAACCCCAACTGCACTGTCCAAAAGTAAATTGAACATGCAGAAACAGCTGCAATGGAGAAAAAATAAAACATTGGGATTCAAATAAAGAGCAAATAGGGGTCCGTGGGTTTATTGGAAATGAAAAGAGTCCTGATGTACATGGAATTTGGCTGGACAGAGGAAGAGGAATGGGTCAACACCTAACATTCTGAATTGGATCTGAAGAGAAAAGATTGGATCAAAAGGGAGGCTTCATGGAACAGATGAAATTAAGAAGTTTGCACAGAGTGACATGGAAGAGATAGCCAATGTATGTTAGGAAGCTTTTGCGGTTCAGTGGCTCTGTGGCTAAGGATCTGCGCCTGTGGCTGGAAGGTTGCTGGTTTGTATCCCGTGGCCGGCAGAAGAATCCTTCTCCATTGGGCCCCTGATCCCAACTGCTCCAGGGGTGATGTATAAATGGCTGACCCTGCACTCTAACCCCAAGCTCCTCTCCCTGTCTGTATATCTCATGGAGAGCAAGTTGGGGTATGCAAAAAGCCAATTGAAGGACTTAAAAATATAAACCTATATAGGTAAGTTGAAACAAAAGTACAATACCTTATCTCTCTGAGTGTATAACATGGGCAACCACAACAAGGTGCAGGATTGCAAACAACAATGTTTACACAACAAGTACGTGACAGGCCACACTTTAAATGGCATGCTAGGTTAACATTATAAGTAATTTAATATAATGATGTGCATCAGTTATTAATTTTCTTTTTAAGAGCTAATAAAATTCTTTTAGTCTCTTGTGAAATGATCACTGAGCATTGTGGTACCCCAGCTGTAGCTTGTTTCACTAAATTGCTTCCGTATATTTATAGATTTTAAATGCAGGCAATGTTAATGCCTAATTACATCTTGTATTGTTTTGCTGCCTCGATAATGACAATGGAGGTAAAATACTTATCTTTCTGTCATTATAAAGATGAACTAGAGATTCACTCTTGAATAAAAACAAAGCAAAATGAGTATAAAGTGAATAGTAATATAAATTATTTTTAAAAAAACTTAAAGGTCACACAGCTTTGAGCAATTAATAGTGCACCTGCTGCTTCAATAGCAATAATGGGAAACAAGATACTCTTCTCTTGAAATACTTGGTGGGGAATATACTAATAGGACATGATGGCAAAATATGTTCATTTTTTATATTTTATTTTTCTAACAAACAAAATCATATGGACAACTGTTGATTTTTATTTAGAATTCACAGTTCTAATATATAATTAGGGAGGTACCCATCCAATTTGGAATCACCACTTGTGTGTTTTTTCACTTATGGCTGTTGTACATGCTAAAGTTTTCCTGAATAACAATTTAAGAGCATCAGTGCACAGTAACAAACCCAAAAGTAGACTTTTAAAAGATAGGCCACTGTTTGTCCCACATCCAATTTCCTAAATCTATTTAAGTCATGCATCTGTAATTATTGTTTCCATTCTTTATATCTTTGTGTATTTCATTGTTTGTTTTATTTATTTTTTTAAAGATGATTTCATTCCTGTTTTCAGGAACAAGGGTGCGTTCCATTGGTGTATCCTTATTTTTTATTGGTCCACACTTTTCCTTGTTACTGAAAAGGGACAAATAAAACATGGTTTCAGATAAAGATTATAGCCCACGTCCCAGGGCTGCCAGCATACAGTAAGACCAATGAATCATAATGTCACAGGGTTCAGAAAAAAACAACAACAATTCTGCTGTTTCTCTTGTAAGGGAGAAAAGGCTTACTGGAGGGTCACAACAACACCTCCCATACCAAAAACAAAATTCATGGGAGAGCATGAAAACAGACTAACCGATGGCCTTCCACCTTAAAAAGTAAAACTTTTTAAACTCACTTGTCACTTGAAGGTTGAACAAAGAAATACTGTAAGACAAACCCTGGGCAGGGCAGGAGTGATCTGGGACACCCTGGATTCTGAATTTGCCTCTCACACACAGGTTTGGAAAGGAATGTTTGGTAGGTGCCAACCCCTATCTCATTTCACTTCGAGAAAGACCCTTACCCCAGGCATGGTCTTTGATCAATGATAAGAAATATGTGTTAAGTTCTACTGCTAATTTGCACCTCCCACTAAAACCACTGCTGCACATTAAGAGAAAAAATCAGTACAGACAAATTTACTGATCCACGTACATTGTGACATGCATTTTTTCAAATAAATCATAATATATTTCTCCTTAAATTTCAGATATGATGTATGGAAAACAAAGTACATTTCAATAGCAGTAATAATTTATTCACAGTTATACTTTACCACATAATATCCCAGAAACAGCATTAACAATTTAAAAAACAAGAGAGACATATGTACATCAATGTTTAAGAACATGTGACTATACAAATTACAATATTTTGACACAGTGCACATTATCCATTTTTCCATTATGACTTGTAATCTTTTCTTTTCTAATCCTGATGTAAGACAGTGTTGATCAGCTTCTAGGTATTGACAGACCTAAGGGGGGAGTCAGCAAGGTTTAAAAAGATTCAATAATGTTGGTTTTCAGCATGTCCTGTTTGTCTGGCAGTGAAATATTCATAAGCTGCCCTAAAAAAGGAGTTCACAGGTGACTCTTTACTTTCTTTCATTGCTCTATTTTTTTTATTAAAACGATGTTGCCTATTTATCAATCATATACGTTTGTATTAACATAGACACTGGATTGCTTCAGAGAGGGGAAGTTCACACACTGTATTATTCTCTCATTGTGCTTGAAGAAGCTCATCTCATTTACTTACCTAATGGGAACTTTGATTAGCAACAATCTTTAAAAAAGGGAGAATAATGGAAACTCCATTATTTCTAGACCTGTGATACGGTGGAAAAGCAAGACATTTTAAATGTGAGAGGTACAATGCGTTGATACTACAAACTCATTTTTGTTTATGTACACTGAGCAGAGAAGGCCTAAAAAAATAGAATTTCTTAAGCTGAACGCTGCCTGGAAACAGAGAAAAAACAGTTTTGAGCTCTTCACACTGGTACATTTCAAGTGTCATTAAATCTAATGTGAATATACTTGATTTTTTACATTGTATTTGCACAACACTTGAGAGATGTAAATGCATTTTCACAAGTATTTTCCATTCCTAATTTAACAGATTAGACCCAGACAGGCACTTATTTCTGAAATCTGACAAAAATAAACTTAATAAATATGAATATATTTTTCCACACTTTTAATCTTCTTTGTAACAAATCAGAATCAGAAGATTTATTCTGCTATGCATAGGAAAAGCAGGCAGTTTGTGGAATAATGTTGCCATCAGAATTGATCTGTGTCACATAAAAAGCGAAACAGTAGAAAAGTTTAAAGTATTAATTTTCTTACACCCCTTACATCTTACATTTAAAAATGAAACCAAACTGAGGATTGATTGTTCTTTCAGTCCACACCCTTGGTTTGGTTAACCAAGTGCAGCAGCTGCAGCCTCTTGGACAGCCGACCGTCATTATTAGTTCTCATAGAGAGGATTGTTAAAATTCCCCACTGATCCGTAGTCAGTGTCGTCCAGAAGCCTGCCATATGTAGCACGCCTGCAATGCACATAATCACACAGACGTCAGACATATACTTTCCCAGTCAGCTCTTCAGTGTTTACTGCTTCCATTTTTTTTTAGGTGAGACATGCTGATTCTGCCAGTGACATTATAAAAAAGACATTGACATTATAATATTGAAAAATGGCATTTGAAAAATAAAGATTTAGTAAAAATAGCACTATAGTAATGTTGCTTATTGAATTCTTTTTACTCACTGCCTTTGAATGCTTGAAAATTAGTGGTTTTATGTTTTATTTTCACCCTTTGATAATTGCATGCTACAAGTTCCCAAAATATGGTAATTCCTTTATGTGCTTATTAAAGCCCAATGGCCTTTTCCTTTAAGGGTTTAGGAAATGCAGCATAGTGCTATTAAAATGAACCTTCCTCTTCAAAACATGTATGTGAGCATTGTACACCATGCTCTAAATTTCTTATTTCTCTTGGATCTCAGACACATCATTTCTTTTCCATCCTTCCTGTAATCTAATGTTATTTTTTTTTCTGAAAAGAAGTAGTAACTTCGTTTTGCAAAGAAATTACATCATGTTTGACAACTCTGTCAAACAGAAATACAATTTCTGTGTTCCCTAATATGAACACCATAAATGAGCATGTCTTCAATGATCATAATAACAATTTTTATTAGGACCAAATTATGATACTTTAACAGGCACCAACATGAAGCCTAGAAATTGGCGATCATTTGCAAGCTTCCTTTTGCAAATTAAAACTAAATTGTCCTTTGTGTAATTATGCTCGGATGGAAATTGCTGTTGTTGTCAATTACAACATCCATTAACCCCTGTTCTTTGAACCCTTTGGAGGAATAGTGATTACTCATTCTAAACTTATTAAATTGCCACAGGTTCTGTAGCTGATGTTTAGCCTTCAGCAGATGTTGTACATTTGCTTCTTATCACACAATTACTCTGAAAAACAGTGCTCTAAATCTAATACATACTGTTTAATAAATACGTCTAGAAATGGGTGAGTAAATGATAGACTTGACCATCATATTGAACCTGTGTGACTTAAAATATATCTGGCACTCTAATATTCAGTTCAATATGAAGAGGCGTTCATATTTTTACTTACCTCATCTTAAGGTAGTAGGCTGCCCCAAACACCAGAACTACAATAGCGATAACTGCACTCACAATTGCTATTACACTCCCTGGACAAAACATAAGAAAGAAGGTTCAGTGCTGACCTCTACAGAAATCTCCTAATGAAACAAAGCTGTAAGATACTCACTATTGACCCTGTTTCTACTTAGATAGAGTGTACCAACCATTTTGTATGTTATGCAGAAATCATAACAGAAAGCAAGCTCTTTTGCTCATCATCACATTAAAACGGGTATTGCTTTCTCTGAAAACAATGGATGCTGTCCAGTGACATGAATACAGTAAGTCAAGGACAGGTTAATAAGTGTTTGACATTTGTAGCCTGTATTAAAAAACCACAGGGAATCACAGAAAACAATGAAAGGGTTTAATATCAATCATGTAACTGAAACTCAACAGGAAGACCAGGACTGGAGGACTAGTGTTTTGGTACTGTGCATTGAAGCTTAAGAGAAACTAAGACAGAGCAGAAAATACAATTCCAAATACATCCACCACAGGGGCAGTTTTTAAAGTTATATTTTGGTAATGCTTTATTTTGAATGAACCTATTTTAAAAACACACCATTGTACCTCCTTCATAAACTCTACACAACACAATAAGACAGTATGCACAAAACAAAACCCGTAAAGCAAAATAAAATTCCACATAAAAATACCAGGACCATTGATACGGAGCTGCATCAACAGAATATTTTTGTAAGCTATCAAGTTCTTAACAGCATCTTCCATCATTTTCACCTGACATCTTTCTACCTATAGCTCTGATCTCAGCTTTATACTGAAACAAGGTACAGTATAACTGCATGCCTCTGATATAATTTGCACAAATGGATGTAAAAGATTATGCATGTTTATGAAGTTTATGAAAGAGTTAATACTGTGTTTTTTAGGCTTTGTCAAGTAAACAGTTAGCAACATTTTACTGGATTCGGTAATAAGACTAAGATACCTATATTTCCATATCCATATCTGATTCAATCCTTCATCTTCTGCAGGATATATTTCCTCCCCTCTAAGTGATAGAATGTTATCATTTTGTGCCCACCAGGGAATAAGCACTACTATGCCCACCAGGGAATAACCACACTCATTCAAGGCCCCTCAGGACAATTCCGGATCACCCAGACAGCATCTTGTACCTCCAGCAACCTTATTTACTGTATCTCTTGCAGTAAATGCCCAGCCATCTACATTGGAGAAACAGGAAGGAGACTCGGAGACCGCTTCAGAGAACACGTCAGGGCTGTGAAGATTAAAGATCTCTCCAAGCCCATTGTTTCTCATTTCACCTCTGACGGCCACGACCACTCTAATCTCTCCGTCTGTGTTCTCAAAGACGGTTTTCCGAACTCATACATCAGAAAGACCACCGAAACTAAAATTATTCTGCAGCTAGGATCACACATTCTCCCTTCTCTTAACGACAGACTCCTGTTCTTATAAATTTTCTCCATTCATTTGAAGTTTCATTTCACACCTCTCTGCACCCATTCTGACTTCACACCTCTTGGTTGGCCTCTCTTTCTGTCCCCTGCTCCCACCTCTCACTCATCCTCCCTCCCGACCTTTGTTCTCCGCCTACTGCCCTGTCTCTCTCACACCTGAAGAAGGCTCCACGGCCAAAACATTGTGTTCTCTTTCTTCTTTTTTTCAGCATGGAATAAACCTATTACTTGTTCCCTTGCAGCCTACACATGCTGACGCAGCTACCCACCTGAACAAGTACTACTATTGCTCTACAGTATGTCCTCTACAGTAAACAGTTGGATATTCCTTCTGCAGATGTTTTTCTGGAGTGTGTGATCTCGGTCTTTGCCACAGCCATGCTGAACACTTAAGACCTTAGAAACTACCCACAATTAAAATGGGTCGATGCAAGCAAGAACAAGGTCTTTCCTAAACCTCAACTCAAATGCTTTCTTTTGCAATTATTACTCATATATTAAAAGATGATGATACACACCTAAGTGTTAGAAATTCTCACCTTACATTCGTGTTCTATTCAGGCCTGTAACTAAACTTTGTGCTTAAAGACTGTTGAGCATACTATTTAACAATCTTTAACACTAAATACGCAATTACTTTACTAGTGTTGAAATTGTTTGCCATTTACTTCCCTCATCACCTTCTAGATATCAATTTGAAATTGTGGAAAGATAAAAAGATGTTTTGAATCCTACATTCTGAAGATTTTCACGAAATAAGTATGCTCTATGTTATTAATTTCCTTACTTCCTCGAGGTGGCCATGTGTGCCATAAATCCTGCCTGTTGATATTAATTTAGACATTTAATGTAATCATTTATTCACAGGTAAGTACCTTAAAGCCAGAGGAACAGGTTAACAGCTGAGGACAGTTTTTGACAATCAGAACTGTCACACCATCAACAAAATGCTCACATCCAATTCAGTGGTTGACATCTCCCTTCTGAGCTACTTTTCATGTTCCTTAGTGATAATTTATTCTGCTTTGCCCTTTTGACTGTTGTCCAGTTATAAGCTACTAATATTCATCCACTGGCTAACATCTTTTGTTAACTCATTTTTAACTGAGTGGAATGTCAGACCAAATGTTAAGCAAAACGAAAAATAGCATAGAACAAGCAATGCAAAAATAGAAAACAATTAGTCTAATTTAGACAGGTCTTGACACTGGCGTCTTTCAAGACATGGCTGGATGAGATCCTTCTAAAATCCAAAAGCACTAGGTGGGCGGAATGATCTTCTTTCCGTTGTAACCTTTTTGATATTCTTACGAAATAAACTAAAAAAGTATAATTGATTTGACAGGCATCAACTAAGAGCATTTTCTTTTGATCGGTGTGCACTCCTACAAAAAAAAATCTATATTTGAAGTGAAATTTTACCAGATATTTGGATCAATGATTAATCACCCTCTCTGGGCAGAGGTTGCAATAAAAAACGCAGCACTACACTGTAGAAATGTCACAACTGTTTATGGAAAAAAACCATAAGGAAGTGAAAAACACAGCAATTTTGCAATTTGGACTTTAACACTTAAAAGGGTTATATGGCATTTTTTATGATAGATAGCCTGCATTAATTCTTTGGGAAGTACATGCTGTACAGTTGCGTCAAGAAAGTGTATCACTGTGCTTTGCTTTTTTCATTATTATTGCTGGTTCATTGTCTCATTCTAGCCATCCACCCACTATAAGAAAGACACATATTCCTGGTGAAGGTCACAGCAACCCAGAACCTATAATTGAGGCAAAGGGCTCTAGGCAGGACTACCTACCTACACCTTGGATATGACACCAGTCATCTCAGGTTACACCATGCATGCACACAGGGGTATTTAGAGACACCACATCCTCAATGTAATTATGAAACACTTTGTTTCTATCTTTCACATTTATACATGAGTTGTTCCAGCTTGATAAAGATATAATATACTTATGGTCTTTCCTGTACACTTTGTGTACAGTGAAGCCTAAATAACCATCTGTGGCCAAAATATAGTTCTAAGGGAACAGATATGAAGAATCAAGACATGCAGTAGATCTGTAGATAAAATAGGATTAACAGTCATGTAAAATATAGACATATGGATACAATGGGATACTGTATGTGCTGTTTGATCCAAACATAAGCTTGTGGGTCAGATATCCAATTCTCTGTTTCGAGCACTGATTCCTGCAGAGATCCTAAATACAGAGCAATGATCAATATGTCTGAGAACTGTTCTACATGTTTTTTGTTAGTTTGTAAAGGTAAAAAATTGCCTCCGTATTACTAGCTTGTGTATAAAAATCAACAAACCCATTGTTCAGACCTTAATCAACAGGTTAACCAAATTGTAGGCTTTTTTTGGGCTTTTGTCTCTCTGATATATGAAAACCCTATGAATATGTTACACCACTAAAAGAAACACCCACAAACAGTACAGAAGAGATCAAAGTAATGTGGTTGAAAATAACAAATCTAGGAATGCATAATGTGTCTATTTTTAAGACACCAGTGCTGAAATATTTCAGATACTTGCCCACCATGAATTGGAATGGATTTTTTACCTGCACTGAGAGCCTCTGGGGAATGTTGTTCATGCTTTTCACCCTGGGCAGTCCCCAGACTAAGCACAGTAGTAGAAGGCGGTCTGCTTGCCATCGTTGTTGCTAAAGATGTGTTAAACACCGGATTTGGGTGTGTTACTGTTGATCGTAAAACTGTGGATGATCCCACACTGGGAGAGTGTGCTGACCCTGCTACTGTGGTGGTAGCTGCCTCAGTAGTTAATGAGGAGATTGCTGCTGAACTGTTAGCTGTTTTTGGAGAGGTTGCTACTGCAAGGCTACTTTCGGAGGTTCCATTGATCATGGAAACTGCTGTAGGGGTGGTAGTCTGTGTTTCAGTCGCAATAGTATTTTCTGTAGGGGAATGTTCTGGTTTTGATGTAATGCTTGAAGAGAGTGGTCTGGTAGACTGTGTCAGAGGCATGCTTGTCAAGTGGGGAAGAGCAGTTGTTGATACATTATCTGGAATTTCAGAAGAAGTGGGTTCCTGTGCTGTAGAAGGCTGACTTGTGGTCACTGACAAATTTTCCGTTGGTCCCATTGAAGGCTGAATAGTAGCTTTACCAACCACCAAAAAACCTTGATTACATAAAAAACACAAAAAGATTATGTTAAATTAACATTCAACATTTATCATGAAACAAAACATAAATCAATGTTTAAATAAGTGAATGGATCAACTTCATGGTTTTAGTCTATTAATAAACTGCTCATCATATTGCAGCACTTTCAGGTTCACATGGGTATGCACCCTCACCACTGCCGCCTCAGGTCAGTCGGATTTTGATATATTCCCCAAAGCAAACTGTATCAGTGAGAATGCCTCTGGCATTGCTCAACAGGGAACCAGCCAGCTGAGCTAAAGGGAGTTCTCCCCTCAGCCCGCCGGCTGCGGTCCCTGCTATACACAGGGAAGGGCGGTGGCATCACCGTGCTGGCAAGCCAGCTCGCACAACCTGTAACGTCAGCCGTTTGCGTTACAATATTTTATATGCAGATATATTTTTTAACCCTATTCATCACAGTAGGGGTAACTACCCACTTTGTAACAACTGCTGTATATCAGAGAAAGATTTTGTCCATAGAGAAAATCCGGGCCTTATAATACTTATTCCTATTCAGGTTGTTTGCAATTTTTCATTAATTGGTGTAATGTCACTTCCCAATTACTTTAACCTAGTCACATCCTAGATACATCACCCAACTGCAATGTTTTTCCTTAAAGATCCTGATTTAAATGATAGAGCTCAGGGTCAAATGACAGATTTTGACTAACATGTCAAATTCTTCCTAACATAATAAATTACCTTTTCATCTCTTTTGGTATATTTATTGATAACACCCTATTTCATTGCACCCTGCAACCTACACACTCAATCTTTTTCTCTTTCCCTATGATCCTGCTTAATTGTACATTAAAATGCCCACATATGCCCACAATTACACCACAATGTGTTTTCTTTCTTCTTGCATGTAACCTTCTTACATTAATAACGTGCGCATTAAACTAAAAATCTGAAACCCCTCTTGTCACTCAGTTTATACATAAATAATTCAGGTACTGTAAAGCATAACATCCACAGCCCAACATGTTACAGTATGATACAATGATGAGAAACATGATTCATTTATTTTGCTGGTACACTGCAGCATGAATGATTATGTTTTGGTGTAAACATTCAAAGTGGGAACTTGCAGTCATCCAAACAGTACTTGGATGACTCTGACTCATAGCAACAGGCTGATAGCAGCAGTGACCTCATGGTTCTGGATCTAAATAAAGAACACACCACAAGTCAGGCAAGGGCCTCAGTTACAGAAAAGTTGAAAATAAGCACTTTTGACTATTTAATACTAAAACACTGAACATGACAAACTCTCATTATGATTAATTAATCCTTTTAAGAATGATATCTAGTGCCCCCACCCCATCCCAGAAATGCAGACAGACACACACACACTAAAGCTATTTTAAAATAAGAAAGTCTCTCTGATATTGTGAGAGTAATTACACCGTTGACACCACCACTTTGGTAAATTCCAGAATATTTAAGTGCCCCAATATAAACCCTGCCTTAATCCTAATCCTATTCTTTACATGAACTGCAAAGCGAATCCTAAAAATAACATAAACGTATATGGTTTTTGGTTCTTGTGCTGGCAGTGACAGTCATCTTAGTGGCTGTTTCTGAAATGGATCTCAAGGTGATGGGGAACTGCACGTGGAGACTGAACTAAGGTAATCAATGACGAGAATGAAACACAATAGCAGTGCGATATGAGCAAATTCCCATTAATGAGTCCTTGATCTTTGTCCTGTTACTCGAAATAGGGAGTTCATTGCTTTTTACTTTTTCCCTGGATCTGTTTTAAAAGGGAAAGCTAATTAATCATTCAGATAATTCTACAATATGAGGATACTGATTATTATTTCTAATAACATAAAGCATAAAGCTCAGTACTCAGCACCTTCATATTCCTATTGTAAATTAAGTCTGGCAGATTTTCTTTCTCCTACGAACAATAAATAGGAAAGCGCTATTCCTGATTTTTTTTTTACTGCCTGTTTTCTGTTCCTATTATGTTAATAAGTTAATTACTGCAACTCTGAAGTCAGAAAACTGCATCTGTGGAAGCTTACGCCACATCCTTATGTATTAGATTTCTTTGTTTAGAAAAATAGTGCCTTATTTTTAAATTATTGGTTTCTGATATATAGTGTAATAAATAACAAATCTATTACTACAGTATATATTTTCTGTGGTCGTGACAGTAGTTGTAGAACTAAAAAAACAGGTAATGCAGGGGAAAAAAAACATTTTTAAAGGTTTGACAATTTGTTCTTCAGTTAATTTAGGATGTCATATCGATATTAATACTGCCCATACTGTACCTGCTAATGCGAAAGTCCTAACTAGCAATGAATCAAGTGTTAATTTTGTAAAAACACATTTTGCAGCTAAAACCTTATGGTCAAATCCCGCGCACTTTAAAAGTGATCCGTACTCTTCAGAGACGCGATCTCGCTTACCATTATGTTTTTGTTTTGCAAAACGTCATTTTTCTTGCTATCAAAAATAACAACACGTTTTATACTGAAACATCAAGCAGTTGTCATTTACTTAATGTCGAATCTAAAAAAAATTAACAAAATGTACATTTACTCGTATCAGAGATCCCAGTCTTAAACGAAGGCACACGCGATTTCAAATGTTTTAATACAGAACGAACATTTATCTTAAGGATATAAGGCTGTTTTCCACTAAGCGCCGTTTTCTTACAGTAATTACAAAAGAGAACACATGTACTGTACCTGTTGTCAGAATAAACGCTGCCAAAGTAATTTTTCGTATCATCTTTCTTGCCTTCTTCCAACTGTTGAGAAACTTGAGGGTGGTTTTTTGAGTCCGCTTCCTAGAATGGATCGAGCTAAAATTAGACTTTCTGCGCGGTCTTGTTGCGCTCACAGTACTGTATTGGAGAGGCAATGATCTGTGATTAGGACAGATGGTTCTAAATAGAGAACAATGAGAGAACGAAGTCACGCCTCTTTCTTGACATCTACAGGGACTCGCAGATGTTCTCCCCTGCAGTGATCACACCCCTCCGTAAATAATGCATAAAAGCAAAATGAGAGAATACTCCGAGGTAAAAAGGTGAATGCTCCTTGCTTCTAAAAAACGACTATTAAACATAGGGCAAATAATATCAATCCTAACAATATATTATAAAAATACATTTATTTCCCTAGCGGTACATTTATGAACGAAACTCCAAGCACTTAACGGAAAGGTGAGACAGGATGACTTTGGATACTTCCCTGCTGAAGTTAATTATGGTATAGGTCATGGTAACACAGGAACTTTACTGTGGCAGATGAAACCAACTTGTAGGCGATATTTTGCCATTATTTTCTCTACTTCACTTTAGTTAGTATATTGATATGTAAATGCAGCATCATAAATGCAGTAATTTATCATTCTTTATGTACTGTACATAACACCTTTTTTTTACTAAGCAACTCAAGGCACTTTTCATACAGAAAACAACAAACTTAAAAAATGTAACATTTATAAATGCTACAAGAACAAATGTAACAACGTGACAATAATATACAGATTAAAAATAATCACAACAACTGGTGTATAATCAAAATGATCAAATGTATCTAATTAACAAGATGCTATATAATATTGTAACGCTTACGGCTGACAGGCACTGTGTAAGAGCCGGCGTACCTGCTCTGGTACGCCGGTTCTTACACAGTGCCTGTCAGCCGTAAGCGTTACACTCTCCCCCGCTTAAATCGCCGTCCTCGGCGAAGGGCTATCCCATCCCACTGCTGACACCAATGTAACGCAACGGGGGCTCAGGTGGGCGCCCTTGCCGCATTAGGTCGGCCCCATCCCAACTGAGGCTCGAACCCGGGACTCCCGCGTCTCTCTGCAGCGACCCAGCCCAGTTGCGTTACATTGGTGTCAGAGCGAGGTGGGATAGCCCTTCGCCGGGGACGGTGGGGGAGAGTGTAACGCTTACGGCCGACAGGCACTGTGTAAGAGCCGGCGTACCAGAGCAGGTGACATCACCGCCCTTCCCTGTGATAGCAGGACTACAGCTACCGGGCTCTCTTTAGCTCACGGGGCTAGGTCTCTGCAGAGAGATGCGGGAGTCCAGGGTTCGAGCCCCGGACGGTGCAGGGCCGACCTAATGCAGCAAGGGCGCCCGCCTAAGCCCCCGTTGCGTTACAATATGTAATCAAACATGGATTAAAGGAGCCTGCTGAGAGAGAATCTCTGCTGAAAAGGGATGGAATTCAAGAGCCTTGGGACACTTACTTTGCACTTCAGTCCTTGAAACAGATTTAAATATGGTCTGGCATACAACAGCAACCAATGCTGTGATGCCAGCACAGGAGTAATGCACACCCGTTTATTGTTTTTTGACAGCTTTCTAGCAGCTGTCTTCCGCACATGTTGCAAGAGAGATACAGAAATGCACATTTTCTTGAACATCCAAAAAATAAGGCACTGGGGTAATCAACTATGCAATAAAAGTATGTATTCTCAGTGTCAAAAATAAAATAAATTAACAAGAATTAGGAATATTACAAAGTTAATGTGAGGAATGTTTAGCATTTTAATATATAATTCAAATAATAAGTCAAAACCAAAGATTGCTCTCAGATTCCTCGTTTCTGACTTAACACTTAAAGTCTTAAAACAATCTATTTGTGTCTGTTATATCCTACTGTATGTTGTATCACTATTAGTGGAATGTTTGTCTCTTTTTATTTGTAATCTCTGATTACACCTGATTAAAACATGAAAGACATCAGTATTAGTATCACCTAGGTTTCAAGAAAATACTTAATTGTAAATAATCTGCATAGGTGTGAAAATGTATACCACTTTTATGAATATACATCCCATGCAGAAGCATAGAAAAAATAATAAAAGGTGATTCTTTAAGATGATTGAGTACAACAATTCACTTTATCACAATAAGCTCTTTAATCTAAAAGAACCAAGATACTGTAGATATTCAATTTGAGTCTACATTCATAAGTAGATTGTTCAATACAATGACAGTTTCAGATATGACAAATATTCAAGATAATAAGATATTGTTCAATGCTTCATGAATTGTTGTAAGCATTGTTAAAACAATGGTGAGCTGCATCATTGTGCTTTCCACAAACAATAAGAGGTTAAGTCCATGCTGAATAGTAAAAAGAAAATTAATGGAATACAAATGGTGTTAATGCAGTATAGTTTTCCACAGTTACTTTAAAAAAGTTTAAAAAACTTTACCCTTGCACACTTTAAAGGGAAGATTATTTTTCACTTTAGGAAGGTTATACCACATCTAGCCAAGCACCCTTTTTCAGAGAAAACATATATTTTTTTTAGAAATATGAAGAACAGTTTATTTCCAGTCTCTCCATGTCCATATTTTTGTCTGCTCTGTATCCAAACATACTTTGGTAACTGGGGACTGTTTATTTTTCAACATCAGAGGTAAACATAGCATGAGAAATTCAGTCACTGTTAAGAATAAAAATACAGAAACTATCCATTGGTGTGTTGTTTTTCGATCTTCTACACAGCAGACACTACCAGTGAAAGAGGAAGAATTTCTTTTAAAAATGGTAGCTATGCTGTATCCAATCAGAAAAACACTGGTGTCTGGAGTGTGAATTATCTGGAAGGGAATGATACACAACTCCAGGATTTAGGCAGCCAGTAACAGCAACCCACCCAAAAACACATCTTCTTAAGGTGGGATGGAAATAGACTTTAAAATGAAAGTGAGGCTTTGGAGTGTCTGCCCTTTAGTGAGGGAAAGTTATGTTCCATCAAGCATGTTTGCATGAGGAACATAGTTAGCAGGGTGTTTTAACCCACCCAGGGAGAGGTCAGGAGAGACCGTAACAGGATAACCAGAGAAGTATATATAACGTCATGGCAGTTTCCATTTCAAACTACCACTTCAGATGAGAGATTTCACCTGATTTGCCCACTAGCTCTTTGATTTGTCTACAGCACTTAATGAGATTTAATAGGAAAATATTAAATTTTAATTTATGATACAGACAGTTCTCATTGTTCAGTAATGTATCTCCTGTGATGACCATGCAGACTCAAGAGACTGAGCCCTTGAACACAACTTGCAAACAGAAGCTCTTTTAAATCTGGTATAAAGAACTCACTAACCATTCTCTCTGAGAGAAAACCACATTCTAACAAATAAAACCTTGACTTTTATTCATAAATATAAACCAATAAAAGGTAGGCAGAATTGCTCACAGTACAATAGAATGCTTCACTGCTATCTGATAAATGTGTTCCACGATGTGCAAAATTTACTTTTTGCTTTATGAAAAACCGACTGTACCACCATCTACACCCATCAGGGGGAGACATCCTGCCAAAACGGAATACAACATGGGGTTTGAAATTAATTACAAACTCAGAAATTAGTGTAAAAGAGAAAAATAACCAGGGGGAACAGAAGATGGGAAACAAATTAAGTGTCCCCGCAATTAACTGGCTTTCTGTCCATGTTAGGAGGCTTGTTATCAGCAGCCATATCACCCTGCAACTCACAACTGGCAACCCACTGAAGCTAAGCAGGTGTGAGCCTGGTCAGTACCTGGATGGGAGACCTCTGGGAAAAACTAAGGTTGCTGCTGGAAGAGGTGTTAGTGGGGCCAGCAGGGGGTGCTCACCCTGTGGTCCATGTGGGTCCTAATGCACCAGTATAGTGATGGGGACACTATACTGTAAACAGGTGCCGTCCTTCGGATGAGACATAAAACTGAGGTTCTGACTCTCTGTGGTCATTAAAAATCCCAGGGCTTTTCTTGAAAAGAGTAGGGGTGTAACCTCGGTGTCCTGGCCAAATTTCCCATTGGCCCTTACCAATCATGGCCTCCTAATAATCCCCATCTATGAATTGGCTTCATTGCTCTCTGCTCTCCTCCCCGCTAATAGCTGATGTGGGGTGAGCGTTCTAGTGCACTATGGCTGTCGTCGCATCATCTGGGTGGATGCTGCACATTGGTGGTGGTGGAGGGGAGACCCCATTACCTGTAAAGTGCTTTGAGTGGAGTGTCCAGAAAAGTGCTATATAAGTGTAAGCAATTATTATTATTATGTCAAGTCTTGGTTTTATTAAAAGACTGCAGTGGATTATGGTGCAAGGATGGCTTTGTGAGAGAAAGACCCATGTTTGAATGCATTAAATACACATACAAATACAAGGGAAACAATGTGGATGTTCACATAAGTTCATATTTTTTGCACTGTAGTCTCTGTTTACCAAGGGTGGAGGAAGTTTATGTGGAGCGGACTACCGCAAAAGATACAGCAGAGGTTAAAGTTCCTTAGTGGCTTCCTTAGTGGCTCCCTCAGCTTTTCCGAATAAAATGTAAACTGTTTTGTTGAAGTACAGAGGTATGGACTGCTGAAATGCATATAATTTCAATATTAACTGACATCATTCTCACTTGTGAACCTAAGCACTACCAAACAGTTTTGAAACAGCTTTCAGCAAGTGTATTCATTTGAAATGAATAGTTCAGATTCCTGGAGTGCTCACATAGGTTTGGTCTTAGGTCTTGTGGCTAAGGATCTGTGCCTGTGACTGGAAGGTTGCTGGTTCAAATCCCTCAGCTGGCAGAGGAATCCTACTCTGTTGGGCCTCTGAGCAAGGCCCTTAACCCCAACTGCTCCAGGGGTGCTGTACAATGGCTGACCCTGTGCTCTGACCCACAGCTTCTCTCCCTGTCTGTGTCTCATGGAGAGCAAGCTGGGGTATGCGAAAAGATGAATTCCTAATGCAAGAAATTGTATAGGGCTAATAAAGCAACATTAACATTAACATTTTTTCAAATTCCTTTCAGCAAAAATAAGCTGTGCGTTACCGTTGTCATGTCAGTCCTAAAACAAACAGCGCCATCTGTTGGTTCCTGAGGTTTTCGTCATTGCACAGATCATGGTTGCTCCGTTTTTCCGGTATCTGAAGCTAACACTGAGGTTTAGGTGTAGCACTTCACAACACATGTATATTCCGCCAGGCTTCCATACATGTAAGTACCGTACAGTATATTTGATTTTTGTTTCACTTAGCATTAAGAGGTTGTACTCCTCATTATACGCTTGTGCAAACTTGTGACAATGTTGGCTCTGACTGGATTCTTCACATACATGAGTGCGCCAGCTCAGAAATTATGCTTTTCCCGCACACATAATTACTTAATTCTGCAGAGGGTATCTCCAGTACTAAATAAATTGGTCCAAATAAAATGGATCCTATGTTATGGTACAGGAAGGCAATTGTTTAATATAAAATAACAACAGTGGTTGTGGATTTCTTGATTAGCAGGACCTTCTGTTAAAACTTTTCTAAAGAGTAAAGGTGATAAACCCAGTGTCCTGGCCCAATTCCACTCAGGACATGAACAATGTGACCTTACTAAAGTTCTCTCTTAATTTCAACTGGTAAAGAAACCCCTCCCTTATCTACTTGATCTGTTGTGTACTGAGGTTTCTGATGGGAATACATCCACTGGGATAAAAAAACACAATATAAACAGATGTTTTTATTATTATCAAAGCAGAGTAAAAGCAGAGTTAAAGCATTATTATTAAAGCAGAGTAATCTTTGATCAAATGCTAAAACTCAGCATGCTTATTGTTTTCTAGCTTTGCATTATATTATATTCACAGTAGAAATAAAGAGGAAGCATAGTCATACACACCAAGTAGTCACGTAATGCCAAGAGGAGAGATTCAGTTCTATGGGGAACACAATTTATTGACTGGACTGCTGTCCCCTGAGAGATCTGAAAATGTCTTCTCAGGAACACATGCTTCAGATACCTGCTGTCTTATGTGCCATGGCTGTTCAAATTGTAACTGAAATAATTATTTTATTGAAAGTACTTCTTGCTATTTTGCATGTAGTTCAGATATTTTTTATTTTTCTTGGAAACACCATTGCTTGTTTATTTCTAATAAAACATTCCTCTCTGTTGACAACGTGAGAATTGAGCAAACTATGTGGATCAGGAATAACTAAAATAAAGCTGCTTACTCTGAACTCCTTCATACTTGTGGTACATAAGTGGTTAAAAATAACAAGGCACATCTTTCATTTCTAGACCTGTTTAAAGCTAAATTTTTTAAACTGTGGGATCACTTATACTAACACTCTAGTTACACTCCAAACCTTCTTTTAAAATATCACCTTCACAATCCACCTCTTGGTCACCAGGTGTGGTCACACCAATGGTCTTGCTCCAAGTTTAAATTCCCTCAATGTGCTGTTTGTCCTTACAGTATGCATTACCAGAAAAACAGGTCCAGGAGGTGGGTCATGAACAGAACAAGTTGGGAGTTCCAGACATCCATATCTGAAATTCCACAGGGCCGGGTGTGTTTTCAAACACATCATCTCAGAGGAATTCACAACAAATTGGAGGCTGTACCAAACGCACTCCTCATATACAGGACCTAATTTTTTTCAGATCTGAAATAAAAATGCCTGTTAAGAGTTGATGTAAAGTGTTAAGAGTTAAGATAATAGATAAGATAAGAGCTCTCCCACTTGTAATTTTAATATTTGAAATGCAGACATCACAAACAAAAAGTGTTGTGTAGTTTGTTTTGAAAATGAATTCAGTTCATAGTTCTGGTGGGTCCCCTCCAAAGATGACACAAATACATTTATCTCACTGCATGTGCCATGAAAGTAATTTAACATCTGCTAATATTCAGAAAAACATATCAAACTAATGATTTGGAAGTAAAGATCATCTTTTCCAGTATGTTATATGTTATCATTGTTTCAGTCTAAACCTTTTGCCACTTCCAATGCTAAGTTATTTGGTTCTGTGTGCCCTAAATTAAAAGTTTTTAAATTTTAAAAGGCTTTAAAATTCAAGTTTTTTTTTAGAATTGGATTTAGGGTGTATGTTTTACTATTTATTTTCTTTTTTATTTGCACTTACAATATATTTTATATTGTGTGTGCAAGGCTGCTGAGTCATAAATCTTTCTCTTTTCAGTGACAGAAGCTTCTAAATGGAATACTTGGAATTAGCCCAGTAAAGGTAAGTGCAATGTGTTGAAGGGACATTACGCATTCTTGCAGAGTCATGTTCCAGCTTGGAAAAGCACAAACAAAATAGACAAGCTTCTCAAAAATGTAAAGCACGTAACGTCTTCAAGTTTCTCTGACTCTAATGGAAATAACCTACAGATAACCTGTAAAGAGCAGAAATGTTCCAGTTTTCTATAAAAACCAATAGGTTTCTGTTAAGAACTGGGACATCTTTATATACTCTCGCAGGTTATTTTCCATGAAGGAATTTGTTTATTTTTAATAACATTAATTATATACAATTTTAATTTGTTTAAATATATTGAAAATAACTTTTAAATTAAATTACCAGTGCCATGGTGGCACTGTGATTAGTATTGCTACATTGCAGCACTGGGACATTGGGTTAAATTCTGGACCTGGGCTGCTATCTGCATGGAGTTTGTGTATTCTCTCTGTGTTTGTGTGAGTTTTCTCCCATAGTCCAAACCCTGTGTGATTGTGTCTGGTTATCTGTCCTATAATTGACTACTGTCAGGTCCAGGGTGTATGCTGCCTTGAACCTGTTGCTTGAATTGGTTGAAGCAGTTAGAAACCGCATGGATGTGGAAGTTTTAATTTCAAAATCTTTTGGTGCAGATTGGGCCAAATTGCCTTAGTTTTCAAATCCATGCATCATGAAGAAGCAGGCTTTGCCATTAAGGCTCCACGGACAGTACAGTACATACTGTAGTGTTTTCAGGTTCCCTCAGGACAAAGGACAAGTGGAGACTACTTATTTCTCCTATCGAAATCACACGCTCTACACACACATGAGGAGACCGAAGGAACACGTACAAATCTTAAGGGTGGTAATTCGTTATCAACAGACTATACACTTATAAAGCTACACAGGACACTGAAACTACTATAACACTATTTACATATGCAGGTTCAGCTGATGGTCATCATGCTGACCCTCAGACCCCCCGGCTACAACTTCCAGCCTACTTCGCGGTACCATGAGTGCCTAGGTGCGCTTCCTCCTCACTACCGGGCGAGGGAGTTACAATACTCAAGTCCTACTTAATTCCTGCTAAAACTGTTTCCTCTATTTCTTTCATTTATTTTTTTTTTTTCCCGCAGCCTCTATATCGTCAGCCTTTGTAGCCATTTAAACTCGAATGAGAATGTTATGTTTGACATGGGTCTTATCTAGAAGCTTCAAAAGTTGACATGCAAATTTTCACCCGAACTGAAAGTAGAGTGATATTTTGAACTGACCAAGAAAGACCAAGAGGAATGTTTTTTTAGTTAACAAGGACTTAATTTTCGCTGGCGCCTACAAAGCAGCATCTAAATGCAAAAAAAAGGACATTATTGTCTTTTTACATTATTGAATTAACAGTAAAATCCCGCTTTTGTTTCGGGAAACTCGAATAACAGGTGCATTGATGGGATGGTGTCTGGGTGAAACCCGAAACCTGTTGCCTCAATTGTGAGCAATGCGAGATGGCTATCTAAACAGAAACTAGTGCGATCTGGTGAAAGTACCCGCCCACCTGAAGTTTCAGTCAGGCAGGTTTTCAAAGCTCGGGCAGGAAGCGCTGCGCAGATAATTAACACAGCAGCCAGGTGTAACATCGAGACCGTCATCACATACAGCACTGCAAAGTGTTTGGCGCACATCCAGAGCAAGATGCGTACTCCAGCTTTAATGATCATCGGAATCGTTTTCGCTCCCTGTGGATGGATATTTGACCTAACTTCCACCGTGGCCCCAGACTGGAGGGAAATCAGAAGTATTCCAGGTCAGTCGTCGGACACGTTTATCCAGCAAGGCATTTGGGACATCTGTAAGGGATCCGACTCCTCCCGGAACATCCAGTGCAATCAGCCCGATACCGCATACTTCCAAACCCAAATAGTCAATATAGCCAAAGGCATGATGATCGCCTCTTTGCTGGTAACAATTTTGGGGATAGCAGTGACTGCAGGCGGTATCAGGTGTTGGACTGACAACTACAGCTGGAAAATTGCTGGACTGGGAGGCATTTTGATCTTGATTTCTGGAGTCCTGTGTCTCATTCCAATCGCCTGGTACACCTACCTCCTGAATTCCATCACCGCATCAGGAACTGATATCCGTGTGGGTTACTGCATTGTACTGGGCTACATTGGATCAATTATGGAGATTCTGGGAGGTGGAGCGTTAATTATCGGGATGTATAATTTGTGCTGCGGAAAGAAGAGAGAAGAGGAGAAACAGTATCCTGTTAGAACATTTCGGAATACGCTCACACCCAGGCCAACAATCAGACCCTTCGACGTGATAAGTCGAGTTTCGGATGTCAGCAGCGTACCATACGCCAGGGAATCGATGGACGAGGGCGATTTTACCAGACCACCTAAATCGCAAAGTTATAAACCAAACAAAATGAACAATATACCTTGTGACTCCGATTTATAAGAAGAACACGTAGAATTTTATTTAAAAAACACCTGTAAAGTTCTACTCTTCATGAACTCAAAAGTAAAGTTTCTATTGTGCATGACACGATGGAAAAAATAATAAGCCTTTTTAGATATAATAATGGGATATTAAATGCCCTTTCATGAGTATAAACAGATTGCGTGCTTTGATTTATTAAAGTGCCATTTTAGTCATTTTAACGAGGAAGAAATTGTTATTTTATGTTTGTCTTCTGTGCCTTTGTGTCTATGGGGGACAGGATAAGTCTTCAAGGGTCTGGAGGTCCAGTTGGCTGGGTGCTCCTGTCCATGTGGAGTTTGCATGATCTGCCTGTGTTTGTGTTGGTGTTAGCACGTGCTCCAGTTTTCTCTCAGTAATATGTTGATCAGGTTGTTTTTTGTTTTAAACTGAACCTTTTATGATGGAGGTTGCTGGGTATCCCAGCTCACTGATGCACCCTGTCAGAAATAACAGCCCTTTTTCTTTCCGTTTGGATAACTGTGTGGGTCTATATGCTTTTTTGTCTGTATTCTATATTATTTCTTATGGCATGCAATGGAAAAAAAAGCATGGTTAGAAAAATGAAGATTATTCATTCTTCTTAAACATGGTTTTACAATGATGCACTTTAAGTGTGTACTGGTACTATGTCTGTATGAATAATAGGTACAATGATAATGTGAATACATTAACAAAACTTTTCTAGCTTTAAAATTTGGAGGTTTATTAATACTCAGTGTGCTCCAATGCATTGAGAAAATATTACCACCTCAAGCATGAGAACATTTTTTACAAAAATGTATTTTAATGTATTGTTTAAAATAAAGAGAATCAAAAGCAATTGCTTTACTCACTAGCTTTATGTATTTATGCAAACATACTGTACTGTGTCAGTGTTGAAAAAATACTCCTGTCATTCTTGTAAGCTAAAAAGAATGGACAACAATTTAACAGTTAAATGCAATTTGCATATGGGAAATAAGATCAAGTGTAAATCTATAAATTAATCTAGTCAAACAGTCTCAAATATGGATTTTAATTGTGATGTTTTTTATTCATGTTCCAAATAATATAAATATGCCTGTTTACTTTTGTCTCTCCATTTTAAAGATCTCAACATCAGAGAAATTGAGAAAGGATGCAATTAGAGATAGATAATATACGGAAATTGCAAAAAAAAATGAATATGGATGACATTATGTGGATAGCCAAGTGTGAGTTAAACAAACATCCCCAACTAACATATAGCTCCATTTTCGACTGGAATTGGCAACTGTTCAGAAAGATCTTATTTTACTTTGCGGTAAATGTTGTCTAATTATTGCAAGGCGTGTCAATCAGAACACTAGAAATGATCTTATTCCAACTTATCAAATGTACAAAATGTTGAAACAATTGCAAAAAACGTTCTTCAGTGATAAAATACTACACACATTTTTAAAAGTATTATTACTAATCTATTGCTTTTGTAAATGACAACAGTTATTTGTAATAAACTAATATTTTGTCTTACTTGAATGTATTGTATGTTTATCTGTATTACAGAAATTTATATTTTATGTTTAACATTTTGGTCTTAACCGGAAAGCTTGAAATCATGGATATCTTAAAATGTTTTAACGAATACCTTGAGAAATTATGTACATAATAAAGCATATTCATTTCTTTTTCTTCCCTGCTGTGTAGTAACTCTGTAACCACCACCTTTTCATCATTGTAAATGAGATACATTTATAGGTGCACTGCAAGGATTTCCCTGTTCCAAAATTAAATGACCTGGACTAGAACATTACCTTTTGGCCCAAGATATACTGACTTATATATACCTGATAGGTCAAGTTAAGACTGTGGCAAGTAACCCCTGTGTTGGAGAACTACAATGCTGTAGGTATCTAGTTCTTTTTAATTTACAGCCTGTGTGAGTCCCAGATATAACGTTTGGTACCTTTGGCATAATTTTATAATTCAACCAACAGAGACCTTAAGTGGAAAAAAAAAACAACAGCACCTCTGCATTTTTTGGACTGAGGAATTGTCCAGTAGCTCCCAGAACTGAAGTTGGCTTCAGTGTTAGGCTGCATAGATTATTCCTTACTCTGAAAGTATAATTAACAATAAACTGATGCTCCAATTAATTTCAAAACCTCCAAGGGAAGCAGGGGTTTGTGTTGATTATTGTTACCCTTTAATCTCTACAGGTTTTTTTTTATATTTTTAAAAATAAACTTGAAAAGGAATTACTTTTCTCCAGACCTATAAAAACAGTGTAAGGATTACTTCGTTAAAATAAACTATTAGTAGTTTTAATCACAGAAAAATCTTTAAAGTACTTAAGTACTTTAAAGATTTAAGATCTGCAAACAATGCTATACGAGGTTTAAGAAAACTGTTTTCTAAACACAGACTTCTTAACCAAACTGATATAACAGTACTAATTTTCAATCAAAAGCGTCTTACGTTTTTTTTTCTAAAACGTTTCAATACATAGGCTCAAAATCCACTACAATAGCTACAGGAACAAAGGGAGGAATTTAACACCAGATACTCGTCTACAGCGTATAATGCACCCTAAACCGTGCCTGCTAGGTTCCCTCCCCTTTTCAATCGTGCTAGTCTGCACAAAGTCCTTCGCATAGAACTGAAAGCCATCGGGTTAGCACGTCAATGAGGACTCCTTGCGTTATGATATTCGGACTTATTTTAGTCCTTGTTGGTTGGCTCTTCAATCTGATAGCCACGGGTGCCCCGGCATGGCGAGAGGTGAGGTCAACTGTGGGCGGCGAACTCGGAGAAGTTATTCACCAGGGCATCTGGGATATCTGCAGAGAGCGCTTACCAAAAGAGTTCACTTGTTTGCGACAAGATGATGCCTACTTCAAAGAAGAGATTGTTAAGGCTGCAAGGGGTTTCATGATAGCCTCAGTTATTGTAACAGCCCTGGGGATACTGCTGTCAGTTCTTGGGGTCCGATGCTGGCGAAGATCTCCGAACTGGCTTCTCGCAGGTTTGGGAGGCATTGTGGTATCTGCTTCGAGCTTATTCGCCATCATCCCGATTGCTTGGTACACCAATCAGGTGGACAAAATAAAAGCACCAGGTACTGATATTCGGGTGGGCTACTGCATTGTGCTGGGTTTTATCGGGAGCTGTTTTGAATTTATCGGGGGTGGATCTTTGATGATATGCCTGTCCCAGTTATGCGGTGGTGCAACCCAACTGCCCCACAGAAAGTGCAATTCGCCTCACGCTAACGGAGTCCCGAGGTCAACTATTAGAACTGTCGATGTACCAGATTTAAATGAGCGACCTCATCACCCAACGCTGCCAAGACAACTTTTTCAGAAGGACCAAAGTACTTCATCGCCTGTCCTCTCATCTCTGCACAAAAGAACTGATATTGACACCTTTAACAATGACCAATCGTTATACACAGAGCTTTGATAATGCATAGTAAACGTATGTGCGTATCAGTACATAGATTTTGTTTTACGATAGGCTAATAATGAAAACTCAAAATGAAGAAAAAGCTTCTATTTATTTTCAATTTATAAATCTCTTTCTTTATACGTATAACCAGAAACCTTCTTTTTAAAATGATTTTATGCAGGCTTGCATTGTTATAAAGCCCAGATGGTATAATTTTAAAATCAATTTTCATAGTATTTGTGATTAAATAATATTATCTCTGCATGCTGGTGTTCAATATATGCTATGTTGTATGGTGGTTTTCAGTTTGAGAAAATTTATTTTGAGAAAAAAACAGGGCTTTCAATATAGTTTTCTATTTATATCGTATTCATGTCATTTTCTTCTCTGAATATACATTTTGAAAATCACACTTTTTACTTTGTAAAATGAAAAGCACGTGTTTGTAAATGACTTTTCTGCACATTTCTGCATAAGAAAGTTAATTAAACATCACTGGCTAAGCATTTAGAAATTAAATACATGTGCTTAGTGAACAGTTCATTTAAGAAACTGCAATATATACAAAGTGTTATATTGACCGTAAGTACAATGGAAATAACAGATACAGTAACACACAAGTACCAAAAAATAAATTGATAAAATCTCAATAATGCAGGCCAGCTAACATTAAAATGCACAAATGTAAAGAATTAAATGTTATGCAATTAACCTCTACTTGTTCTTTTCCAATGATGTAGATACAGAGCAATAATGTAGAAACCCTGCTGTGTTCAGCATCTATAGTGAGTAAGTGCAAAGAGCAAATTACATTAGCAGAACAATCATTAAAAATATTGGTGCACTGCAGTGTAAGAGCCACTAAAGGTTGTAATTGAGAGATGCAGTGTACACAGATGTCTTGAAATTACCACTCATTGGCAGGTGTTTTTATCCAAAGCAACTTATATGTACAGTACCCATCAATACACTTGGGCATTTGAGTAAAGAAGCCTGAATGAAGTTCCTTTATCGTGAGCATTACAGTGAACTACCAGGCCTTCCAGTCACTGGTCCAGTCATAACAACTCCCTCACATTGCTGCCTGTGTTTGGAACCTGTAGCCAAAGAAGCCAAGATACTGAGGTACTATGCAGAACAAAAACCAGAACACCACTCAGTGAAAATGTTTAACAACCACAGCCCAGTTTCGCCTGGATTGGAGCTCACCTGTGTAGTTTCAACCAGCTACAGTACTTCAGTCATACCTGTAAGTCATTACAGAGGACAATGATACCCAGATGATTTTTAACCAGACATCAGATAAGATTCTAGTGGCTGTGCTCAACATTAACAGCACCTTTATCTTGTCTTGTGGAGATATTTATATATTTAGCTAAAAATCCCCATTAGGTTATAATTGCTGAGGTACCATTTTAATGACAGGAGTTGATAGTTTTAATAAACTAGAGCTCAGTCAAAAATAGATATTTTAAACTGATGATATGCAATCAGGGCAAAACCCAATCTTTGCCTGAGGAATGTTGTCTGCTTGTTTTGTTTTGTGAGGTCAGTGGACAGGATTAAAAGGAAAACCACCTTGTGTTTGATATCAAATTCCTGATATATTTACAGTCAATAGGATGTTTGTTCTTTATCTGTGACAGGCACGGTGTACAGGCAATAATCATGACTCTTCTGCATCAGGGACTCTTGAAAAGAAAATAAAACTGTAACTGAAAACAGACCTCATGCTGGATTTGACCAGAGAACACAAGTGAAATGCAGTTTATGTGATTGCACGGTATGCAACAATTCTCTCACATCCAATCTGAAATCATTTCCCTTGGCATCATGAATTCATACAGAAACTGGAGTAGGACTGTGTATAATTTTGCAAGTTTCACTTCAGTTATTTATAGACTTTTTTAAGCTCCAGCTCTCAGAGGTTAAAGGTTCATCCCACTAAAGAAGATAAGGATGAAATGCTTGACATGTTTGAAGTATCACTAGGTTGAGTGGCCATACCTGAAAATCTGCATTACATTAACACATTAACTCTTTGTTCTCCCTGGTACAGGTTGAAATGTGTAGATTGGTAGATTCCCCTTCTATAAAACAAAATAACTGTTTAATACAGCAATTAAATTGACCATTTATTGTTTTTGCACTAAGAACAAAAATGTTCCATATGAAAAACTTGAAAAGCTCCCCAATAGACTATTTTGTTTAAATATCCCCAAATAAAGAATCTATTATATGTAAACTGTTTTTGGTTTTACATTTGTAGGAAAAATATGCACATTTCTAATCAAACCAAGGTTTGTCACAAACATTTGTGTGCAATAGTATGTACATGGTTCCTTAGAAGCTTACTGTTTTTGTACAATAAAAGTTTGCAAATGGTTCACATTTGCCCAATTATTGAGAGGCAAAAAAATCACCCAACCACATGAAATCAGCCTTGTCCTGAGAATTATGAAAACAAGGCAAGGATCAAAACAGATTTACATTTCAAGGTAACAATTACTACTATTTAAAGACAGGAGTCCAAATGCACTTCCTGGAGGACCTATTGTTTGTTATAACCTATGAAGTCACTTAAACAGTTATAATTAGATTTGGTTGGCTTATACAGGATATTAAAGGTCTTACAGTTGATTGCATAAAATATTGTTTTAACTTATAACTACATAAAACCCCAGAGCCTAGGAAAGAGTATTAGCATATATACACTGTACAGTATACACCTATATGTAGATTGAAAAATGTTATTCAGCATAAAGTTTTTATCCACACTTTTACTTACACAGGAACTGAGTGTTGCAGGAGATTTTGAAAAGTAGGTCTTTCTTTGAGGTTAGACATTTAATGTAAGGCTTCCTGCAGTGCTACTTAGCAAAATAATGTAACTAATTTAATACTTGTGCTTAATCCTTCATAGACAAGTACAGGAACAATGCAAGGTGAACTGTAGCTGATTAAATAGCAGGAGAGATGACAAGTGACATAAAAAACTGCAAAAGTCCTATGTGCAGAAATCACAGAAAAACCTGAGAAAATTTGATTTTTAGAAAACTTTACTTTAAAAATATGCAGGCAGTTCTAAAATGGAAAAAGGAAAAGTTATTTGCCTTAAAAATGGATAGGGGGGAAAAATGTTCCACGGATTTTGTTAATGGTTTTGTGTATTTAGTGTTCATGTACCTGCATTTGAAGTTTAAGTGCTTGAACTTGTTGTATTCCCATATTCTATATGGGAATTAAATCAAAATGAATAATTGATTCTATCATTTGCTAAAACTTTTTCAAACTTTTTCTATATACACAGGCTTCTTTTGGTACAATGCAAATCAGTTAATGTAGATCCAAGATCTCTCTGAACAGCAAAGATGCATCTGCACAATCCTATATGAAACTAAATATGAAGGTCTGATCTAGAAACAAATGTTTACTGCACTACAAATGGTTAGTGTTATTTAAAGAAGCGATCATAATCAGATGGAACAGATAAAAGCAATTACAATGTAGGAAAAATATTTACATCTTTATACTTCCTGTATTGGTTACAATAAGCATGTAGAAACATTGAAGTAACACCAGCGCCATATATTGAGCATACTCTAAGGTCACTTTTTCAAAAAGTACAATACTTTGGAAGTTCAAAGCGAGTCGTGTATTCCAGACACCACCAGTACTGACTTGCATCAGGACACTTACTAGGTGCCTTTGAGCCTTCAAAGTTCTAAGAAAGACCCACCTCTCTGCTCTAATGTATGTTAATGGTGCTTGTCAGTGAGAAAATAGAGGCTCTGACGGGGTGCACTGAAGGAAGGCATCATCTTTCCAGTCCTGTCATGATTGGTAATTTCAAAGTCCTAAATACAGTATTTTCCTTGGATGAATATTGGAAAGAAAGAGGAAAATGTTTGATGCAATTCATACTTTATTTTTGAAGAACAGTTTACACTCCTGCTGGTAGAGTCTTGTCTACTTTTCCCGGGGACCAACCAATTCCTGTTGGATAAGAAAAGACAAAAGCTTTTAATATCTTGTACTACATAAAGTATTATAAATAATTTAAAAAGCTAAGGGATTTATTTCCATCAAATTTAATAGCTAAATTTGTGTATCAAAGGTGAAAATGAAGATGCTATGGAAGTGCTACTGTACCTCCTCTGGATCATAAGATTCATTGGTAAAGGTATGCACAGAAGTTGTGTCTGCAATGTTCTCAAGATTGGTCAGAGCTGTTTCTGTTGCAGAGGTTTGTGGTCTCCTGTGTAAAGAAGTATTAGATCAATGTTAAAGAATTAATAACTAAAGATAACTAAACATCAGGAAAAACATGGAAAGCTAGAATTTAAGAGAGCAAATATTTACTTGCGCCATGAAAACTGGATACATGACCATCTCTTAGAATTTCAGCTTTGTTTCTGCTTATGTTTTTCCATTCTGAAGTGAGTTTAAGATGGGCACTGACCATCACTGTAAGTACTACAGGACATAGGGTATTAAGTGCTAGAACTTGGACTCCTGTTTTCTGTGGAACCAATGTCATTTTAAAAACTGGTTATAGGGAAATTGTAATTTTACAGTGTAACACATAACTCTGGATATAAAATAAACCAATGTCAATACTGATTTCTACATTTGTGGACCAGCAAATGTAGTTTGAGTTAAAACTGACCTATTTGCTTGTCTCCTCTTCCTCAACAGAACAAATATCACGACGATTAAGACCATTCCAATCAGAAAACCTATCATGCCCAAAGTCAGCGGGACTTGGATGGACTTGATCACTTTGTCCTGGCAGAACTGTCCTGTGAACCCCAGCAGGCACTCGCAGGTGGGTTGGTCATTGACCACCACGCACTTCCCCTGGTTGTGACACAGCTCATCCCTGCAAGTCTGCACGTCTAGTTTCCGGACCAGGATTTTGTTGTTGACGGCCTGTGTGGTGGAAGGTGGCATCCCTGATGCTCCAGAGGAGGGTGGTAGAGGGGGCTTCTTAATCACTTTGGCACCTGAATTAGAATTTTTTGCAGAACTTTCAGGAGTCTTTTGACCAGGGATCACTGTCGTATAAACACCTGTTAGATAAAAAGATACACACCTTTTATGAAAAAAATGTAGATTTTATCATTCCTAGAGAAATTGATATAGGTATATAGAGCATATAGAGTATATAGGCTGATTTGCATGAATTAGAGCTACTCATTATACTGCACTCAAGAGTAGTCAGACCTGGCTTTATTATACAGTGAAGGGAAAAGTGAAAGTCATCATTTGACTGGTCAATCATGTTGGGGAAAAGTAGCCAAATGTCAAAGTAATGCTAGCTATAGTCTTTCTGAAAAAGCCTATGGGGTTTTGAATAGTCATCAATTTCCCTATGGGATCAATAAAGTCTTATCTATCTATATCTATAGTCATAAGTACCGTCTTCCAACTGAATTTCATTTGTCTGGAAAAGTTTTCTACCTTTTCAGGGTGATCTTTATGTTCCTGGGTGACAAATGAACAGGAGTTTTTTTTTAAAATGTACAAGAAACTATAGTTCAGTTTAAGAAAAGAAATGCATACAACATATTAAAATATTCAGTGTTGATCCTGAATTCAGAATGGTCCGCAACAAATTCTGCATATAATTCTGTCTATGCAGATAGCTTTTCTGATTTACAAAAAAACATTTGTGCAGATTACAGAAAGTGATTTCAGGTCTCTTTACCAAAACTAAAATGCATTAGTTTATGATTTTTAGAAACTGATTCTTAGAACATTCAGCCGTTAACTTGTTTTACTTTGTTCCTTTACTATTTTATCTTTGCTTTACTGAGAATCAATATGCTGAGAGGCTTAGTATCCAATGCCCATTTAGAACCCTACACTGCATGGTTCCCACCCCCTTGATAATCTAGTTAATCTGGTTTCTCCTGAAAACCTTTCACACTTTCACATGTAACACAAAAACAGCCCCAAGATATCACAAAGCAAATATTTTGAACTTGTTTGCTTATGATTTTTGACATCATTTTCCACATAAAAGGGACCATTGGATCTGGATTTTCAAAAAAATTAAACATCCTGTTTATTTTTTTATAATAAAACCAAGGATTTAAAAAGGGATTAACAGGGGCACACCCAGATAGCTCACGTCATCAGGAAAAGGCAGAGTAAAAACCTCTCCCTGTCCGACACATTAATTTAATAGACTGAATATGGAGCATTAGTACACTGCTCGTTTATCTTTAAGTAGAGGCTCACACTTACGGACATGTATTTCACAAAAAACAGGTAGACAAAGGACATGCTTTATCCTGTTAAAACCTGAGTACTCTTAGTACATCTGATAAAAGCACCCTGGTCTTATATCCGTAACCAGTAAACCTCTGTTCATATCCTCAGAAACACTGAAAATCAAATTCAAGACCCTAGGGTGCTAAAGATCTCGCAGCAAAGACATTAGCCCAGATCTTCAGACATGATCCAAGATGAGCAAACTTACAGCTCTCCTCATCTGAATTATCTAGGCAGTCCATCCACCTGTCACAGAATTTGGAACTGTGGAGACATTTCCGCCCGTCACGGCAAGCCTTGGTGTGGGGCGGGCAGTTGAGGTCTTTGACGCAGCCAGTGGAGTTAATGGAATGGTAGCCCTGAGCACACTTGCAGGTTCGCCCTTGTGGAAACGGCAGGCAGATGTGACTGCATCCACCATTCTGGTCTGCACACAGATTAGTTCCTGGGACAGGAAAAGGCAATATTGTGGACATGGCAGGACATATACCAGAACTGTGGCCTGTGTGAGGAAAACTGGCAAAAATGAAGCCCAAGAGCTCAGACAATTAGAGAAATGAAAAAGTGCAGAGACAAAGTGTTTAAGGATACTGAATGACAGCAAACATCACCCCACCACACACCTCAAGGGGAAAAGAGTAATTTTGAAATCTTCAGAACTCTCAAACCCCGCCCTCAAGACAGTATACACTGTCACTTTTTTACCTTCCAACCTGACGTTATTTAAACCCTTAAGTCAGTAATCTTGGAAAAACTAGTAAGATGATTTACATTTTAATTGTATATCAAATGAAGGGAAAACCAAAATACAGGACTCTTCAGTTACAATTCCTGAAAGATTGGAATTTGATAAGCCTGATTTGGCCTATAAAGAGTTACAAAGGCTCGTCTTTCCTCAAATCATTAGTGCCCAACAATAGCCTTGTATAGGTTTCTTACATGTACAGGACTAAAGAATGAATGTTCCGTCATGAAAAGGGCATCAAATTGCTAACTCAATATTGAAGTAAAAAATTGTGAAGTTTCCAGCACTTTCCAGATTTGTTTCTGGTGTCTGTGACTTATCAAATGCCACTGAGTAAAGTTTTAAATTACACTTTGGACTTCTATTTTGTGGGAAATTGTGTTCAACAAGCTTCAGACTCTGTAACCTCCACAAACGAACCAGAGCAAATACATTACTTCTCAGGTCAGGAGGGTAATTTTTATTGACTTATTTCAATTGCTTTCATTCAGAAGTAAACTGGTCTCAGAAGACAGAAAATACTGTAGCAAGGACTCAATATACATTTATAAGGTTAATAATACTGAAAAATAAAGTGCATTTTATTGGGAGAAAAATGTCTTGGATTAATTTTAAAAGTTTCACTGATTACTTATTTCTAATGTGGGATTTACTTGGAAGCATTACAAGGAAATTACAATAAGACTGAGGAGAGCAACCTTTGGTTTTGCTTTCGTGTTTGTTGGTATTACACTCATCATATACTGTATGTTGAGGGAAAAAATATCCTAAAGGTTAACTGCAAATAAAGAGGATATCCCGTTTCCTGACGGCCATTCAAAGACTCAACCTGCTTTTGAATGGTACAGCATATTTAAACCTTAAATCTCCCTCCTTAGGAAAAGTTGAGTATGCAGACTACCTTTCTGGCTGAACTTGCTGTATACTTTCAGGCTAACCACGTTTGTCTTCACGTCAAACCAGAGCTGTCTGGGCTGCAGGCCATCACTGAACCAAAGCTTTGCTGTATCTGGGAGGATAAGAAAGAATTCAATCAACACTTCACATTCACAATGTAAAAGATCTTAACATGCCAACTATTTCACTCTTTTCCCTCGCTCAGTGCCAAGCCAGACTGATCAGGGGAGGGAAACCGCAGTTTCAGTTGACAATGTCTTCAGGTTTCTATTTTACCTCTGATCTTAATCTGGATAAGAAGTCAGATTTTTAAGATCCACTCCATTTTGGCACTAAACTTAAAAAACCAAGTCAAATCACCAGTGAAACCTTGGTGGACTTATGTTCTCCCATCTTGGTACATGTCCAAATTTATGTATTAAACAGTAAATATTAGCTTATGCTATAAGATGTTGGCATGCTAACTTTACAAGATCCATACAGGCTACTTATATCCTATAAAACAATTCAGTTCAGAAAACATTTAAACTGAAGAATGGCTAAGCTCCCCGTCCTGTCAGTGAGGCAATGGCTGTATATTTTCCCACTCAGCCATTACCTACTGCCATATGCCCAAGATGTCCAGGTTTGGACTGCATGGTCAAGATCTATGAACATTCCAGCATATATTAGTCTGCATCAATGTTGTATTTCTCACTGCAAATTGGTTACCCATGGAGCATCTTGTGCACATATTGACATGTGGAATGTTAGGTGCCTTTCCTTGAAACTCTTTAAACCCTGTTTTAAAACAGCAGCTATATCAACCTGCAACTCACAACTGGCAACCCACTGAAGCTAAGCAGGTGTGAGCCTAGTCAGTACCTGGATGGGAGACCTCCTGGGAAAAATATAAAAATAAATGGAATCGAAAAAACTAAAGGTTGCTACTGCAAGAGGTATTATTGGGGGCAATAGGGGGTGCTCACCCTGCAGTCTGTGTGGGTCCTAACGCCCCATAAAAGGGACGGGGACACTTTACTTTAAAAAGGTGCTGTCCTTCGGAAAACATCGTAAAACCGAGGTCCTGACCGATTAAAAATCCCAGAGTGTTTCTCGAAAAGAGTAAGGGTGTAACCCCAGTGTCCTGGCCAAATTTCTCATTGGCCCTTACCAATCATGGCCTCCTAATAATCCCCATCTATGAATTGGCTTCAATACTCTGTTCTCCCCCCCCCCCCACTAATAGCTGATGTGGGGAGAGTTTTGGCACACTATGGCTGCCATCATATCATCCAGGTGGATGCTGCACATTGGTGGTGGTGGAGGGGAGTCCCCATTACCTGTAAAGTGTTTTGAGTGGAGTGTCCCGAAAAGCATTTAATAAGTAAGTAATTAACAATAGTGAAACAAATGAAGGATTGTTAGGTTTATAATGATTTAATGCTGCCATCTCCTGGCTGATTAGAAATAGCAAAAAGTAAAGAGCTGCAGTTTATAAATGTGGAAACAGTGGAATAGGAAAACTATCACTTTTGCCTGCCAAAGCATACATTTATACAAAAAGGATCAACCATTCAAACTGCAAATGTTTCATAATAGTGTATTATAAAGGCCCAATCCAGAATTAAATTACATTGAACTTAATTTTCCATTGTTGTGTATGACTTCTACAATTAGTATTACAAAAATGTATTTCTTAAATACCAGCATTAATACTTAAATATTTATGCTTAACTGTGCTGACTTTATCCTTTAATCTTCCTCTTTAGATCTAGCAAGTTTTTCAAATATAAATCTTCTTTGAAAAACTCTTTTCCAACAAAAATGTTTTTTGACTTAAATGATATAATCTTTGAAGAGTTTTGGGAGAAAAATGTGCCTTAATTCACCATATTTGAGCATTCAACTAATACATTTTGTATGAAAAGTTCATTCTTATTATATAGTGAGATTTTGTAAGAGGAGCACCTGAAAAAAAAACTACCTTACCATTGACTGTTGTCCATAAGAAAATGTTGTCAGTTTGTGCAAAAGAGGTTAGGATGCCACCTCCTGTTTTGTAGGCTTTGTATTTGAATCCATCAATGCCAATGGAGCCAATAATTCCAGCACCTGCAAAACAAATTTTACAATTCATATGAACTTCAGAGACTTACGAAAACTTGTCGATGTTTGAAGTTTATGATGGATGATTCAAATTTGTGCTGGTGAGCACCACCAGGATCACCCTTATCATAAGAAGCTGACAGATTGCAGCACAACAATTCACAAGCCCTGGCAACAAGTCAACATAAACAGTGATAATTGTGTAAACTTTCCATCTTCAACAGCAGCTTGCATTGATGCTCTTGATATCACTGGTAAACCTATATTTCTTCACCAGTAAACCAGACAAGAGTGACACTGATGAACTTCCACAATTCTTTAGATACCTCTGGTAATCCAAGTAGAAAAGGATTCAGGGCACATATTTGGCACAAACTTTTGCCATGTTGAAAATGTTTATGGAGAAGGGTTCCATTGTTACCTTTTAAAATAATAATTTTGCAAGCCCTGCCACCTGGTTTCAGCAAACAAGTATCAAGTGTTCCTTAAGATGTTTTGAACTTCTCATGTCCAGAAATGGGATCAGTTTAAAATTGATGGGCAACTTTCCAAAATACAACAGCCATGAATTATGGATTTATTCTGCAGTATACTGCATTCATTGCACAATTTCCTGACTGTACTTTTCTTAGCCTTTGAAAAACCCAAATTCAATTTACGCTTAGAATGATTAGTCATCCAAGGAAGGGAATACACGCTCGCGTTCACTAGTTCAGTTTCAAGATGCATGTTGCTCCTTATAACACTGAGGCTATTAAGACGACAGCCTCAAAATACAGTGGTCAAGCAATCAAAATATTAAAAATAATTGTATTTTTGGAGAGGGGGGCACCATGAGTTACTGAATTAACCAACACCTGCAATGTCTTTCAACAATCAAAATCAAATCAAAGTTTATCAAATGATCAAATGCACAACAATACAGCGTGCAGCAGTAGTCTTTGACATGTCAATGACAATCTTGTCCTCTATAACAAAACTGTAGAATGATATACATTACTTTGCCAACTAGAGAAACCCTTACATTAGAGCAGAGATGGCCATTTAGTAATGGATGGCTTACCAGGATCTGCCCAGAAGAGCTCTGTGCCAGAGGTGCTGAAAGTCAGACAAGTGGGCATCATTGTTTTTTGCCACAGAACCCTCCTGTTCTGCCCATTCATGTAGGCACATTCTATCTTGGCCTGGCTCCTCCTGCCTTCCTTCCCCATGTCTGCAAAACATATGGCTCCAGAGGGGGGGTATAATGCAATGGAGTCAATTCCTTCCACGCCATCTTCAAAAATAATAGCAGTGTAGTTGTTGCTAGACGAGGTGACACAAAGGAGGGCACGCTGGCTGCTACTCCAGTAAAGGTTGTGCGAGAGCCAGTCAACTGCTAGAGCCATTACCGTCTCTCCCTGGAGCTCCAGCACCTTCCTACGGAACACCAGCTCAGAGTCCTTTAGCTTAAACCGGCCCACAAAGCCACCCTCATCGTCAGCCAGATACACAGTCTGGTCTTTCAGCACATAGTCCATGGCTGTCGCCTCATTGACACCAGCTATGGGAAGAGCTTTGTGCTCTGGCCATGTATTAAGGTCCGTTAAAGTGTGCATATTCTTCAAGTAGACCTAAAAGAAGTTTTAAAAAAATGAAATGCTTCTTCAAATGAAAATCTTTGAGTCTTCAATTTTACCTCACATTTACCTCTTATACACCCTGTCATGTGATGAAGCACTGTAATGGCAATATTGGACTCATATGGACAACTAGACCACTAGAGGGAAATAAATGTTGTCAAGAATATTCGTCTGCTGAAATTAGGATGTTTCTAACAGTATGGCTATTATACAGTTTTCCCCCACTGCTGTTGGATCAGCTTGAAGTAAGAACAGTCAAAGTAGGAAAAAGTGCACAAACTGATGAGTGCTTGCAGTGGCAAAGCCAATAAATCTGTTCATGTGGGAAACAAATTTCTTGATAAATTACTCTTTTGAATTCTTGGCAAAGTTTAAAACAAAATGATCTTAAATATTCAGAAGGAGTGTGTGGAGTGTGTTGCACCTTAAGTACTTACCTGTGAGAGTGTAGAAGCTGAAAGCAGGAAAAGGAAGGTGGTGTCTCCTGGAATATCACAGGTGACTCCATCCTCAGTAAGCAAATACCCAACAGGACACCTACACACTGCTCGCTGCCTTGGACCCAGCAGACAAATATGGGAACAATCCAGACTTTTACAGGGGTTGGCAGACGTTACCTGAAGAGATTCATGTATAATCTGGATAGACAACATTAATAGAAATCAGGAGTCTGATTAGTTAAAGTAGAGATTAGGCTCAGATAAGCCATAGCTCTTAATTAAAATCAGCCTAACATCATTTCAGGCTAATCTTGTATAGGGTAGACAAACTCTCACTAGGGACTGAACTTGTTTCATGACACTGGTGTCAAATCTGAAACTTTCCCAGAACAATGAAGGACAGAATTGTGAATGAACTGGTTCCATGAATTTAATTTAATGCCTCTCTGCTTTTAATGTAGCTACATTGAGAGGTGCAACTCTGTCTCCAGTGGGATTCAGATACCTCTGGCTTCAGAACATTGCTTCTCCCTAGTAAACTCACATAGAGCCCCACTCAACTAGTTTGTAACAAGTTTAGGTGCTAATGATCCCCATTACACTACCACTGTAGGCTTAAGTAAAACCTTAAAGGACACCTGTTTCTAATGTGTTGAGAAGCCAAACCATTTAAAAGCAAAGAAAATGCTTGTCAAAATTAGCACAAGTAAAATGAATCACCTTTAATCCGAAAGGTTGACCAAGCCGTTTCAGAAAAACACTCCTGTTCTTGCCTGTGATTTTGTTGGCTTTTTGAATTGTCCTTCTTTTAGTGTCTGACCAGTAAATCATGTTGTTAAAGACCACTACAGAGAATGGGTTTGGCGATTCAGTCAACTGAAGTAGCTGCATGGGAAAAAAAAAGTGCTATACCCGACTTCTATATACTGCATTTTTCTTGGATTAAAACTAATATACAGTATACCGAGATGCTTCAAAATGCATGAATAACAAGAAGCAAGTGTTAAATTGTCATTGAGAAAATCAAAGAAATTAACATCTGACTTATCAAATCTATAGCTCCAATCCAGTAATGTTTAATTGAAAAGAAATAATCAATAGTTTTCTAGTTTTAAAGTTGCTGTGGACAAAGGCTTTCAGCATCTCTAACTTCTTTTGATCAAATACACTACTACCCTTCTCCTTCCCCCAAAAAAGCTTCTTTGAAACACTTCATCAATAGTACCTTAATATCTGTTCCATCCATATTAGCAGAGCCAATGCATTTCAGCTTCTCATCAGTCCAGAAAATTCTTAAATCCAGCAGGTCAAGGGTCAGGCTGATGGGCCAGCTGAGTCCCTTAGCGATAATGACCTTCCTGTCAGAGCCATCCATTCCTGCCTTTTCTATCTGTGGCTCACCAATCTCAGTCCAGTACATCATCCTGCAAGTGTAAAGCATAAGAACCACCTTAGGGGCAAAAAAATAGCATTTCTTAGGCATTTCCAAACTTGTACAATTTTACTTAATAGAATAGTTTTTACTGAACCAACAGGTGCTTTCACAATTCAAAAATAATCTTTAAAAACTTAAAAAAAATTAAGACTTCCATATTAAATAATAAACATTCCAATAGTGACTGGGCCATTCCCAGGGATGTCTTTAAGATAGTCTCCACAGGAATGGACCACAGCATAAATATGGGATTAGAAATACAGAGTGAAGGGAAAAAAAGAGAACCAACTATCAAAATATTGATGTGGGAGGTTTTATTTTTCCAACCAGACCAGGGAAAAGATTGTCTAGGCAAACTAAACGCTAAAAAAGTACCGGACTCAAATTAAGAGAACTTCATCTTATTTTAGGGAATTCTGCTTTCCTGTATTTTGGAACATCACAGGCTAAAAATACCTTTCCTATGTTAGTACAGGGAAATTGCGTCTCATTCACTTGTGAGCAGCCATGTTTTAGAGAGGGATGTTCTGTTTTTGGTAGGATCGTTTTTCACTGACAGTGTAACATTTGTGGCATTCAGTTTATAATGTTAGAATACTGGGATTACCTAAATTTGGACTTGATTACTTAATCTTCACATCTGTGCCACAGAATAAAAGGATATGTAACAAACACTCAGTGTTCACTGACTGGGACAATCCAGTGACAATTTCACTGGGTTGAAATCGATATTCACTTGCACAGAAAGCAGGTGTTATCATGATTGTCACTGCCTCTTTTATAACCGTATGCAACATGTTAGGCAGCATGTCCTCTGATTGGTATTTCTATTAGCAATTAGAACAATGATTCTTACCCTTCCTGTGGATGTAGTACAAGAGAGTGCGGCTGCTCTAAATCCTCATTCAACACGACAGTGTTGTTTCGGATGTTGGTTGAAGTGGTGTTCAGACTGATAGCTAGGATCTGTCCAGCTACACCATCTGTCCAGTACAGATTTCTACCCAGCCAGTCAACTGCAATACAGTCTGACTTTATACCTGCAGGGGAAAATGGAGAGCATGTTTCTACATCCAATGACCCAATAAATTTGACAGTTCAATATAGCGCTCATGCTTAAGTACAGGGCATTCAAAATTCATTTCAGGTTGTTCTTAATGTTCCAGGTTCCCTGAACTACCTCAGATTTGTTTGATATGAACTGTAGTTAACTTTGACTCAAGCACATCTTTTAAATCAGCACAAAGACAACTGAAGAAATGTGGCATTTTAGAATAAATGGCATGTCACTTGCTGTAGAGTTGCAAGGTATACAGACACTAAAAGGGAAAGGCATTCCATTATGACAACTTACCCTTCACAAGAGTTCCCTTGTCTTTCTGGTCCATGGATATCCATTTTATACTCTCCGCATCAAGGCTGACCCAAAACACCAACTGTTCCTGCCAGTCATAGTCCACAGAAAATACTAGCCTTTTACCAGTAGAAAACAAGACTTCCATGCTGGAACCATGTAAGCTATAGATAAGGAGTTCATACTGAACAGATGCCAACAAAAACGGCTCTCCTGCAGAAGGAAAAAGCTTTAATTATATATGATAAATCAGCCAGCGTTAGATTAAAATTTCTTCATTATTCATATCTGTAACCCTGCCAATCCTGATCCAGGAACAGAAAAATTCTAGATCAATGTTTGTGGTTACCTATAGCTGCTTTGTCTTCTCTGAATCTAATTTTATGATGATATGATCAAAACCTTCTTGATAGCTTAATAATTATATTATTGTTCTTGTGTTATATAATTGATTTCTACTTGAAACGGCTATTGGATGAAAAAGGTGCAATCTGGATGTGAAATTTAATTGTACAAAATGTACATTTTCTTTAACCTCAGAAGTGTACTTTGGACATCACGGAAAAGGGACACCCATTTATTATCAGAAAGAGGTTTACATCTGGCAACCCATAGCCTATCCCAGAAGCACAGGACACAGGAGGGTGGGCCTGCACTCTGACCAAATCAAACATGCAGGCTCTACACAGATGGATTCTCAAGCCAGACCTGAACCCTACATCCAAGCATGGAAGCTGCAGTGCACACTACACTACCCATAATTTAATTACTAAATCCGAGATTTCAGATGTATAGTTTTGCCTAAATTTCACAGATTTTGATTTCTAGTTTGTGAATTGTTGCTTTAGTAATCAGCAAGTACAGTACCAATGATTTTGCAACTATGTCCATCACGTTCCAGCAAGTATCCTGAGTGACACTGACAGCTGTATGACCCTCTCATGTTGATACACTTGTGGTCACAAACACCGGGACTCTCCATGCATTCATCTAGGTCTTCACAGGAAACGCCATCTGCTGCAAGTTTAAAGCCCACTTCACAGGAACATTTCTGGATAATTGCAAAAAATGGGTCTAATTAATACGTAGATGTGGATGATTTAGTACAGAAGGAAACATTCAAAACTATTAAATTTGTATTTTACTTATTATAATAGATTTAGAAAATGCTGTCAAATGATGAATTTTAAAATCATCAATATTTTCTTTAAATTACTATAAATGGTGACATTTTAATTATGATTTAATTATAATAAATTGCAGAACAAACCAATGAGGAATAATGTGAGCTGGGAGTTAACATTAATTCACAAAGAGCACTGTGACCAAGACAGTACTGTAGGAGTAAGTGTCAATAATATCCAGGAGGCCACAACTTTCTCCTTGTTTGCAATCAGCACATCAAATACAGAGTCAATGATCACTATTCCGCTTTCCATAAACTACTGTAAAATCTCAATTATAAATTACTTTAAAAGTGGGGACACAGCATGCTTATCAATCCCATTCAAAATTTTTTAATTGTTTAGAGCAATCCTAACAGCATGGCTACACCTATTTCAATTTGCTTAAATATGGTGTTGTCCAATTTAAAATTAACAAACATTTCTAAAGAAAGTCAGTTAAGATGTGGTTGTACCATACTAAGAAAACGGGATGGAGCGACAATCCTTCCTGAGAGCAGGATCATAATTTGAGCTCACATTGAGCAATTGATCTACTAGAGCAATTGGACTTACTGTAAGATCTGAGCAAGACTAAATCCTATTAGAAACATTTGGGCCCATTGTTTCCAAGATTATATCTCCCTAGCAGATTATATCTTCCTACTGTTGTCCTTAGGTTCAATTATATAAATTGTTTTGTAAGAGTGGCTTTATCCAAAAACATTGTAAATGTCTGCAACAATGGAAGAAAACCACTGGCGCTCTACATCAAAACAACCCTCAGATGTATAAATAAAATAGAAAAAGCACATTTCCACACATACTTTATAGTAATTTATTGGACTTACTGGGCCTGTGGGCGTCACATAGCAGGCATGGGAGCATTTGCGAGAACTGGAGCAGGGATGGGTGTTGCAGTCCCCACCTTCATCAGACCCATCCGGACAGTTAGATATCCCATTGCACACTAGGCTGGTGTTCAAGCACTCCAGATTGCTGCACTGAAACTGGTAGTCCGGACACTTCACCAAGCCACCTGCCAAGAAGAGAGACAACGGTGCTTCACGTCCCAATCCAGCTTTTTGCCTCAAACGTAA